AGTTAGTATATATGATCTCTATGCAAAGAAATAGCTGCTAATTATAAATACTAGTCACCTATAGCCATTTGTAGCCAATTCAAGCCAAGTCAAGAAAGGATGCCTATAGCCAATAATATCCAGTTGAAGTCACTCAAATCTATACAGGCTCCAATTAGGGGTGTCGCAAACCGGCCGCGGTTCGAGTTCGACCAGGTTCGACTTTTTCGACCTTTAAGTGGAAAGTTCGACGAACCTTCTATAGAGGTTCGACTCGTGTGCGCATGCGCGGCAGGCTGGCCAGTTGGCTTCGGATTGGATGATAATGGCTAAGAGATGAATTAAGTGCAGCGCTGATTGGCTATTTCAGTTAATACAGTACTAAAGATTAAGTTATTAACTTCTTCATTGATTAGAATTAGTTTCTTTTAATTGCAGCTGTTCACAATATAAAATAACCCTTTGCATAAAAAAAAATTCCAAACCTAGACATGCTTGTATCAAGGTCTGGCCACACTGTCCACAAAAGTCGAACCGGTCGAATTTGGTGAAAAGTTCGAAGGTCGTCGAACCGGTTCGACCCAGTCGAACCCCGAAAGTTCGACCAAAAAATCTGGTTCGACAAAAGTTCGCGACACCCCTAGCTCCAATTGCATAAGTTGTCCATAATAGTTTGTGATAGCCATGTATAGCCAAGCCAATCTAATAAAAATACATGCCTATAGCCATGAAGTCATTTTCATTTAAAAACATTAAAATAGTGCAACTGTCAACTATATTCACGAAAGCCATTCATAGCCATTTGAATCCAATACGGTAAAATATATAAGCCAATAGCCAAAAATAGCCACATGAAGCCATTCATGTTTGTAGGCATAGAAATAACTAATAATTATCAATACTATGACATGATGAACAGAACAGCGCACACAAAGACAAGGACAGAGAAAAGGAATAGATGCTTATAATAGACAATAATAGCCAATTCAATCCAACCAAGTCAAGAATAGATGCCTATAGCCAATAATAGCCAGTTGAAGCCAATCAAAAATAAACACTCCAATTGCATAAATTGCCAATACTAGTCGGTGATAGTCATGTATAGCCATTCCAAGTCGATTTAGCCAAAAACTGCCCATAGCCAACTTGAATCCATTTACAGTCAAAACATCATGAATACCATGTCAATATTCGTCACTAATCTTCATTCTGAAGTGATGGAAGGCGATTTTGTTAAGAGATATTAAATGCCGATAGCCAATTGAAGCCATTTTCATTCCTAAGTATGAAAATAGCAGAGTATTGCAAGTTGCAACTAATTGACTCCGTAAGTGTGACGTCATGGGTCCAAACAAATCGTTGCTGGGGTCGTTGTTATGAACAAATACATGTGGCTAGGTTTGGCTACGAAAACCCGACCGTTCAAAAATCAGGAGCAGGATTTAAACTTCTAAAAATCACAGATATAAAAAGCTTGAATGTCATATATGTTTCGACAGAAGTGTGCCGGCAATCGCTTGTTTCCAAAATATTTACGACTGCAACTTCCGGTCCTAAAGATGCCTGCAGCAGATGACGAATGCAAGTAGTATCTGCCCACACGCCCACCGGCCAAGCCGGCGCCTTGCGTCTGAATCGTGTGAATAAGGACGATATTCTGATATTGCATTGGTTTGAAATATGATGAGTTTCAGACAGTTATAATTCATAGTGGGGTGCGATGCAAAATATAATTTATCGAAAGTCCGGGTGTCGATCGAGATGATCGTCTGCAAAAGATGGCATTGCACCCTTGAGAAAAGCACTTCAGGAGATCGGTTGATATCCCAAATTTTGTTTGCGGACTCGCGCTATGGGAGAATGCTTCGTACCTAGTTGTAACCATCGCGTGGAGAAAGATTCTTGCAGTTTCTTCAGATTTCCGCAAGACCCCAAAGCGCGAAAGAACTGGATAAAAAGCATAAGGTGAATTTATTACAGATTGTACTCGCATCGCGGGTTCGATGGAGATCTTCACCAAAAGAGCACATCCACGGTATTTGATGTATACCAAGGGAAAAAAGCAAAATACTGCGAAATCGCCATAGACATGCAATTCTATAATAACCTGACAACCTCAATAATAATAATAAGAAACGACTTACCTTGACGATGTACGATTTGTTTCACATGCTGGCATGCACTACGCCGGTAATGCACTTCGGGTCGTCGTCGTAACTGATCTCTATGACGTGGTTTGATTTTACGGCATTTTCACACCTCTGAACTAAGCTGGGTTCTTCACACACACAAAACAAATTGACATTGCGGAGGCCTTTACGGCCACGGCGATGCACTTGTTTTTGTCGCTTGTTTACCGACGCGATTCAATGAAGACGCCCGCTGCAACAGAGGCCAGCAAATCTATCGTGTCGTCTGCTACCAAAGCAAAGCGGAGTGCAATATTTCAGAAATGGCTTTCATCGTTGCAATACGACACGGAGACGGCAAGAACATCTTCATAATTAGATATCAAGAAGTTAGGTTGCTTACAAAAAAATATTTACTTACTTTTAAACAAAAATCTAGCCTCATGTGGAGCCTCCATGTATTAGACCATAGCAACGTCCCTGGCAACGGTTTGTTTGGACCCAGACGCCATGTTGTGACGTAGTCACTTACGGGGTCAATGAGCACTAATAGCCACTTTTTGCCAATTCGCACCAACCAGGTCAGGAATGGATGCCTGCAGAAAGTAATAGCCAATTCAAGCGAACCAGGTATGAACACACCAATTACATAAAATGTCAATAATAGCAACGGAAAGTCATGTATAGCCATTTTAAGCCAGTATGACCAAGAACATACTCCAATAGCCAATAATATAATTAATATCCACTTAAAGTTAATTCCACCCCTGAAGCACCAATGCCTCAGAAGTGAGAATAATAGTTCCTAATAGTTATTCACAGTCAAGTGAAATTGGTCTGGCCAAGAATAGTTCCCCAGAACCAATATGAGCCACTTAAGCCAATCTCACCCATAAGAACACGAATAACACAATCTAGTTAAATATTAGCTAATAATAACGACTTGAAGGTGACCTAACAGCTCAGTAGTCAAGTAGCTAGAAATAAGGATTATTAGCCTGAAATAGGCATATAACTACACAGTGTCCATATGCAAACAAATTTACTGATTTACATATGAACTGCGTGATGCACGCTAAAGACCCCAGGCTAGCAGTCGTTCTGCACTGGTTAAATTGCTTATCTACAGTGGGTAACAATGTCGCCATGTTCTGGCAGACTAACCTCCTGTTGTATAAACAACTAACGACTAATTTGACCTTTGACAATGGGGCGCTTCTCTAGCTATCATCGTCATCGTTTGTGACGTCACAGGTAAGGCAGACTGAGACAGACCGCGCAGGTCTTGGATCCCTCGGCTCGTCATCTCGCTTCATGCGCTGTTTGGGTAACGGGCGGTAAAGCCTGTTTCACGCGTTGTGTTTATTCGGTGAGCTGCTGGTCTCTTACTATACTCGTTTTCACCTTGAGAACCGAAGTAAAACAAGTCCGGCTGGTGGCGGAGTGTTCTGGGTTTCCACCAATGAAATGCCGCGATATCGCGTAGACTTCACCACTCTCCGTCGGGAGGTGGTGGGATCCACATTTAGAGACCGAAACCAAAACAAATTTAGCACTGCAGCATTCTCTAGTGGCAAAAAGCTAGAACATACCTCGTTAAATAGCGTTTGTTTCCGATAAACATGCCTATGCTCTGCACGATTTTGCATCGCTTCTTTAAACTGTCTTCAATAAACATATTTTTGTATATCTAACATTGTTTATACCGTCGGCTTTCTAAAGCCACCATGAGAAAAAGAATCAATGTGTGCCAGTTTTAGCGTATTTACAGTTTTGAACGGCAACCATGGAGCGCTAAAGCAAAAAGATCAGCTGACATCATCGACATCGCCGCAAGCTTGATGAACTGGGATTGATCAGACCTACTGCCAGCCACTAACCTATGTTTGCATAGTTTATTCTGTCCTAATAGACCTTTGTTTACGTTATTGCGCTGACGTTCATGTATATATATTGAGTGGGCAGTCGGTTTCCTTGTGTGTCGCGGTGAATTTCAATTTTTAGTCTTTAATTCTGTTTTCTTAAGTTCCGTGGTGTGGTGAATGTGGTACAAATCCTGATTATAAGCAGAAACAGCGTGGTTGATGTGAGATACGTTCTTCCAGGATCCCATCAAAGCTTCTGCTTGTTGCCCGAGTGACCCTGTGTGAGGATTCTTGGCGATAAGAATCCAGATTATAATCTGAAACAGCATGGTGGATGAGAGATACGTTTATTGCCAGAGCGACCCCAAGACACGTGGATGGCAGTTTGTGAGTTTACTTTCCCACAAACCGCCTGGGGAACTGATCCCTGCAAATAACAGAGCTATCTCAATGAAAGACTGGGCTGAACATGACGTTTAGACCTCAAAATGAGGTGTAAGCGACACTGAATTTGCATGAGGTGAGCAAGTGAAATGTTACGCTCAGGGTCGCATTCCAGAACAATGGTCCACTTCCGGCATGCCGCCAACACTACGTCTTCTTTCTTGAATGAAAACGACCCTTAAAGTGTAATTGTATGCGTATACGTTTAGAAAGCAAAAAGGCAAAATGGCGCCTGACACCTCTGCTGTAGATTGGCAATTTAGCGAGTGCAGTACAACTGCAAACTTTTTTTTTTTTTTAGAGTGAATCTTTGTACTGGTTATCCACGGTGCAGTGGGATACATACAGCTGATTTCAAAGACCCCGAGAAGCCATGAACAAGGCTATTACGTAATGAGAGGTAGAATCACGACAACAACATGACACTGGAGGTTAGGCGTGTATGAAGTCGGGAATCCGATTTTGCAGTATGTGAATGGTCCTTAAAAGGACCGCTCTGTGTTCTGGGTTATGACAGAGTCCAAAGTCCTAGCCACTTTCAGAAGAGAACATATCCTAGGGGGACATTAGTTCACGGTCAATTCTATTCTAATGGCTTAACACCGAAGATCTCTTCACCTTCATCCTCGTCGTCAGCTTCGTCGTCGTCTCCACTCTCCTTCTCCGTGTCGCTTGCATCGAGGGGTATGATGACTGGCTCGAGGTTCGACTCTGGGGCATCACATTCTCGAAACTTCGCCTCCATTTTTTTCACATGCTCTACACATTCATGCCAATGGACAGCTGTTACGTTGTCCACTGCTTCCCTCAAGAGCCGCTCAGCGTCATTGGGCTTGAATGTGATGTTCTTGGAGGCTACCTCCTGCTTGACTCGTGCCCATATCAACTCTATGGGATTTAGTTCGCAGTGGTACGGTGGGATCCTCAACACTGTGTGTTCGGCGTCCGTAGCCATGACGTCAACTTTGTACTTTGTGTAGCGATCCTTCACCGTTGCCAGGATGCTCAGAAGGTATTTTTTCTTCATTGTGGCAGTCCAGTCTAGGTTCTTGGAAGAGAGCCACTGCTGGATCTCGCCCTTCTTTGTTGCAGTTGTGGGAACTGCTTCAGCCTTTCTGCTGTGGTATGGCGCGTTGTCTATAACAATTACGCTGTTAGGCTCGATGTGGTCCAGCAGATGAAGAAACCATGCTTCAAACCTGTTCGAGTCCATTTCATCGTGGTAGTCCCCCTTTTTCTTCCCACGGAACACGTCCAGGCAGCCGGACACGAAGCCAGTGTCACTACCTGCGTGGGTGACAATCACTCTTTCACCTTTTCCAGAAGGAACCTTTAGCCCGGTCGTCAGTCCAGACATGAAGGCTTGCCTTGCTGACTTTATGGTGCTGTCAGTCCACACCTTGTCAACTGTAAGGCCGGCGTTCACCCAAGTCTCGTCCTGGAAGTAGATCTTGCGGTTCTGAGCTCTGTGCTTTCCGATTGCCCTCGAATACCGCCGCCTCCACTCGACGATGTCCTCTCTCCCAATTAGGAAGGAGTTGCGATTCCGTTTCTGTTTCTTGAAACCAATGTCCTTCAGCAGGCGATACAGGGTAGACCCGGAACAGGACGGCAGCACGTCGTCTTCTTGGAGACGAGCGGCGATTTTCTTCAACGTTGGAATCTCCCCTCGACAGAAGAAATTGTGCAGGCAGCTTCTCACGGCCGTCAAAGTGCACGCGTCGTGTTTTGAAATCCTCTTCCTTTTCTCAGCGAATTTCGGGCACTTCTTTGAAGGAGATTTTACAGCTCCGTTGGCACGTTTGAAGCCACGCTTGATCTCGTAGACCGAGCTAACGCTGATCCCCGTTGCGGCGGCAGTCAGGTTGACGACTTCCACCACATTTTTTTCTTGGTACTGCCAAGAAATCCAAGAATAAACGTTCAAAACACACTGCCTTGTCTGGCTCGACAGGACATTTCCACTTGCGTGACGTTTGTAGTACACCCGAGGGGAAACGTCTTCAGGAAAGAGTGCTGACATCATGTGCCGATCAGCCAGAGTTGTTGGAGTCGCCATTTTGGAAGGCGAGCAACAGCGGCTGGCCGGCTGGCTACGAATATCGATCCTCAGATCTTGTGAGGCGTTGAATTACGTGAATACACGCGTACTAAGGAGGTGTATTATTTATCCTACTGAGAATAACAAATTTATTTAAGCTTAAATAACGCTAGCTTCCCAGAGAGCAAACGTTTATCGGAACTACTTCGCAGAACGGAATAATATGTGCGACGGCATGCGACCAATAAGCACGCGACGAGAGGGACACACCCACTTTTTTCTTAAGGTGAAAACGAGTATAGTTCCGACTTGATTCCTTTTTGAATTTTGAAAAACAGTAAACGAACATTTCTTCGAATTAACTGGCGAAGCAGTGGCTGGCTTCCGGAGTCGTTTCACCTAAATCCCTGCTTATTCAACCGATCAACGCGAAACGTGCGAGACCCCTCCAAAAATAAGTAATACACCTGCTATGAATTATCACCGTTTGTATGTTTAATTTTTTTTCGGACCCAAATGCGCATAATACGTGGTGCGCTTCTCAGCCGAACGTTTTTAAATTTGTAAACAATTCTGAGTAAAAAAAAAAAAAAAAAAATAATCAATCGCCTGAAATTGCCGGCTAATGAGTGACAATTTAAGAATTTATGAAAATTTCTGCTTTTCTTTCGAGGAGAAGTGTCGATATGACAAACTTCTTTGCCACGTAATCGATTCGGGAGGAGCTAAGCGTCAGTTGCTGACGAGCATTTGCTCCGCAGCAACTGTCGAGTTACACATAATTAGAAGGGTCGGTATCGGCAAGCTCAATGTAGCTAAAACAATTGTGCGGCGCTTCGCAACACAAATGTGCGCAGCTAAGGCAGCACGTCATTTACACTGGTAAATGTAAAATAGTTTTCATAAGTCCTTCACAGATTCGAAAAAAAAAAAAAGAATCAGAGAAGCTATGAATTGCCTTGACGCACGCCGCGGAAGCTGTAAAAGCTCGAGACTTATTTTTGAACATTTTAAAGTTTTTCTAATATAAAGTGCAACTTCGAGGCGCTGTTATTCACTTGAAAGATCACTCGCAAAAACGTTATACGTTTTTCTGTAATAAATGAACCGTTTTTCATCGGCATAGATGCGAACTAACATAGCCACCTTATAGCGCGTCGCCTTCTCGCATCCTACCAGCTGTGTCACAGGAGGGCGCCCGCGAGGTGGCGCCACCAAATCATCTCGTCGCCAATAGATTGGACAAAATTTGTTACGGTATGGGTGGCGCCACGTGCAAGCTATGAAAGCAACACGAGCTGACAGCGGGCAGGATGGTTAGATAATGGCGGAATGATGTCACGTGACAACGCCCTGTCGGCCTGCTAGTCAGCGCGGTCGGTGGCCAAAGGGGGCAACTTTGGGCAGTACATGCCGCCGCACGATTGGCAGGAGCACTGCATTACAATTCGACAAGAAACTTCGACGTCAGAGTTAAAGCGGCACTCCGGCGATTTATTGAGCTTCCCCAACTAAACATATTTCGGAATCTCTGACCTTTACCCTTTCCGGTATACTATTTAGTATCGCGAAATTCAGAATAGTTATTGGGAAATTTCCGAGTGAAAATGATGCCAAAACCAACATTCAAAAATGCCCGCGCTTTTCAGTGCAGTGACGTCAGGAGAAGGCAGGCTTGCAGAGGCCCTACATAAACTCGTCAAACACAAAGTTCGGGCCGAAGTTGACGGAGCGCACCGACTGGACAACCACGATGATGACTTCGCGTTTTTGTCGCCGACGTCCAATCAGCGCGCTCCACGAACTTTCGGCTCCAACTTTGTGTTTGACGAGTTTAGGGCTCCAGGTCTATAGACGCTTTACACACGTGCCAAATTACAGCCGCCATTGCTGACCTTCTCTTGCCTTACCGAGATGCCGAACAACTGAAACGGCAGTTGACGATGCTCTACGAAGGCCGATGCTTTAGAGAAGGACACAGTTGAATCTAATATGGCAATAACCTGGACTGCTATGGTAATGATGAAGTGAAATAAACGGAATAAGAGGAAACAAAAACTGAAGGTCAGTTATGGCGGCGTCCATGCACAGCTGCTGCAAAGCGTCTATAGGACAGTCTAAAATGGAATATGCCGAGCATTTGTTTCGTGCTGCCGCCCGGGTGCTGGGGCGAGTTTCCAAAGCATTCATTTGGCATCATGAGACTGCTTGTAATCAGTTGGGGACAAAGTCTACAGTCCAAAGAAGGAACCCCTGCCTTCCGCTGACGTCATGCCTTCATTGTTGCTAGTAGAGATCTTTCATTTGGAAAAACACGGTGAGCGTCAAAATTGTAAATATTTGGGTTACTATTTCAGTGATGTTGTCTTTAGTGTTTTGCAAATTTTTAGTAAAATCGGGGACTATGAAGAAAGTGCCGGAGTACCCCTTTAAACATTGGCTTCAATGATTGTGGCCGTGGCACGTCTCAGAGTTGCTAGAATTTCGCATATGATATCGCTATTCGTTGAACCAAACTTCATGGCCCGGTCGGTATGGGTCCTTATGGAGGGCATACGCCGCAAGGCTGTGAAAGGGCTTGCAGCTTGCAGTGTGCTGCGCAGACCCCAACACCGCCCCTTGCATTGAGGTGAAACCGAACTTTGGTCTACCACCACCTGCTCCTTTTACGCTCATATAACATATCACGGGATGTGGCTTTGAAAGCAGTGAACGTGCGCAATGACTAATAAAGCACGCGCGAACTATATTGCACGTAAGTGACATAACCTGTACCTTATTTCGTTGAGACTGCTTTTCTACCTATGTGCGCAGTGAGTGCATTGACGTGTCTGTTTCGTTGATGAAGTCTTCGAGTTACGTCAGGGTCACACATTTTGTCAGAGTACACCCGCAGACGTGGACATACGGACTGAACGGACAAAATGCATAAGCACGCTTTGTAGCGCAGATTATGCCGTCTGGTAACGAGAACTGAAATGCATGTGTGTATGTACAAAGGGATGGTATTGAGGGGACGAAAACGTCATGCCGTGGTAGTTCGTCCACCGTCGCATGACAAGTGAGCGTTGTTGGGCTATTTTGTTCTTCTATCGACACTTAATATTTTTATAGGGCATAATGGCGAGAATATCAGACTTTAGAAATAGTACCGCCATTTTCTAAAGTTAACCATCGGCGGCCCACTTCGTATGCTCAAGGCGGTATACAAAGCCATATTTATCATGCACCATGAATGTATTAATATTGATAATGATTAACATACTACGCTATTTAGGACGAGCGAGTCTTCCAAGAACAAGTGGAATGCTGACCAGGTATTCTATGCTTTCACTCAAAGGCGACGTGAGTCCTCTGATTGTGTTACTGAATACAGACCAATAACCGTCTTTGCTGCTGGTAAAATATAACAAGGTGCAGAAAAATTGAAATTTTTTCATCAAAGTCAAATAAATAAGATTTATTTGATATAAATAAAAATACTTTGATTTAAATCTGTAGCTAGAAAATAGTGGTTCGTTACTACTATATTTATTACCATGGCAGATCGACTAATTAATTCGCCCAATCACTGATAAAAACACGGAAGAAAGAACTAGTCTAAATGTAAAACACAGTTTAAGGATTTTTTTTGGTGCTATATTATCCACCATACTAGAACAAATACAGATAAATTTTAGTTAGAAAGATTTATTTGACTTTTTCGAGTTTTGACGTGATTGCAATAGGGCATTACTTTTCTAGGTTTCGTTTTTTTTTTTTTTATAGTTTTGGTTTTGTAACATTAGGGCGCTATTTGGCGAACCAACGAAGTGAAAGGTATCAGGCTCACCGTTCCGCTTTGCTCAGAAGAGTACCTCTTTTTGCTTGTATTAATGATTCTTTGATTTAGATACAAACCAAATGCACTAAGAGAGCATCAAATAATAGAGAAACGGTAAATAAAATTTGTTTCGACTCAGTTGAGCCGATTCGAATTTCCTCCTACTTTGTGACGACGCAAACTCACTCTTTACCTTTTCGTGCGTCCCACTATACAAGGAGACAAATACAATAAAAACACCAAATGATAAACAGACCTCACAGTCACTGATAGGAAAAAAAAGTTTACTGTATAAGTTACGATCGGGGTATACGTACGCGTAAACATCCAAGCACATCAAAATGGCACAGAATATATGTGGTGTTTTTATCTTACAACGATGTAGAATGGTAATAGTATGCATTATATCACAGTCCATGACACGCTGAAGATTCATTGTCCGACGGAAGTTAAAAAAAAAAAAAAGACACAACAAAAGACGTGTAAGTTCTCTGACCGTTTGTGTAATGCGCAGAGGCTGACCAGAACCGTTTTGGCGGACGGACCTAGTGCTTAAAATCGAGGTTTATAATAGCCGGTAGAGAACATATCTCCCCCGGATATCCAGAAGACATCCGTGGAAGATTGCGATATCCTCTGGAGAATATAACCTGTCAAAGACATCACAAGCAACCTGAGAACGAAGGAACAATACGCATTCACTGTTCACTCACACAAGAGTGATGTGTACTGTACAGTTTTCAGAACTGTGGGACCGCCTGACGCTTTGTCTCGTCAAATATCAGCTTCAATCAATCGTACTTAAAATATCTCCAAAAGGCTACCAGTACGAATTTTACGCTAGCATGAATTTGTCCCTACTACAAATTTAACGAATTAAAGCTTTGAGTAAAGAGCTTGTTCTCAAAGAAAACAATACGACTTGTCTAAACATCTTCGTATATTCCATGTTCCATATAGTCCTATTGTGAAGGTTTTCTTATAAAAGGGACCATTAAATGGAAGCTGGCGGATGATGTGCAGTGGCACTAGTTGCCAAAGCAAGAACATAGTGGCTTCGTTAATGAACGGTTGGAGATTCACAGAAAGAACAGATGTTTTCTGTACGCCATGCGCTCTTGCGGTGATTAGTAATGTTCCATACGACGCAATCGTTCCTGTATTTTTATACAAGGTACCGACGACATTAGCACTTGCGATTCGGAGAGTTCAATCGACTACGGCAGTGAGGTATCTGCTGAGTGTGTCAGTGCCTAGCTACTTTAAAAGGTCAACAGCCAGATTGAGAAGATCAGTTATTGTATGAAATGCGTCCCTGTGCTCCAGGTACACGTTTGACGGCAGTGGCTTAAGTCATACTACTAACGGGAATTCAATTCCTCCCTTTTATACCTCTTGTTCAAAATCGTACAAAATACGATCACGAAATACGCACGCAGTTCTTGGCCTCGACGAGCAGTTTGCTCCCTATGGAATGGTGCGATAGTAATGTGCTTAAAAAAAAAAAGAAAAGAAAGAAACACGCGCCTGAAATACAAAGTAGCTAGGCGACCAGTGTGCTCCTTTTTTTGCGAGCTATGGATCGCCGCAGTTCAACTGAGTCATTCAACCACGGTTTCTCTTTGCGATATGACTATCGTCGTCGAAAAAGATACCTGCAGTCTGGAGATAAATCGCTCAATGCCGAAATTCGTGTAAAACGATACGGCAGCTCCAAAGTCTACTCACTCATCTTTGCCGGTACTCGAAAACGCCAGTACATATTTGAAAAGCGCCTGCATCAGCCACCACTGAACATAAATAGTCTGGGTAGAAGAAATACAACGAATACAGTGACCTAAGAGATTTAGCTGCCGTCTGCAGGAAACATCGAAAACCATCTGAAGCCGCTGGTCCTCTGATCATTACAAAACAACATCAAGGAAGAGCGACCGTGAACACCCTCAAGTTCAGGAAGCAGAAATTAACCCGAGGACGACAAAACAAACGTGTTCACGGATAAAGGCTGAAAACACTTTCAGGACTGTTCTAAGGACGGTACACTGTCCGCGTCGATCAACGGCACTGCCGGTTCATTTGCGCTTTGCTCGTTCTTGAGCAGTCCTTGAGACTCTGCCACTGCGCCGAGTTCGCAGCAGGAGTTCCGTGCCCGAAACTCGAGAAAGACTTCGTCATTGTCTTCAGAGTTTGAGTCCGACCTGTCCGCATCACTGCCATCGTGTGGTATGGGCTCCAACTGGTTCCATTTATTCCACTCGGGAAAGCTGCTCTCCTGTCGGTGTATCCTTGTGTCGCTCTTGGAACATGGCAAGCTCTCGGAGGAGCGCGGCCTCAAGTGACCTTGACTACTCACTTTGAGTCTGCGCTCCTTGGCTTCGGAGCGACCCTTAGGACTCTGACTAGAGAGAGAGCGCAGGAAGAGGGGCAGGTTCCGTAAGGACAACTTCTTCAATGAGTTGTCCGAGACAACCTTGCGGCCTGATTGGTAGCACCCAGCAGCGATCTTGCGGTTGGTGCTGATGTCGTCCACGCTGATGTGCATCTTCTTGGCGTGCGAGCGCTTCTTCTTCCTCGGCTCCTCGGTGACGGGAGTCAACTGAAGAGGTTCGCCCTTTGAAGTGCCTGGCTGAGTGCCGCTGGGGCCGCTTTCGCTCTGCAGGGAGGTGTTGGTGGTGTCGTCCTTGACGGAATTACGATGGTCCGACTGGTCCGTTGAAAGCACCGCGTGCTCTTCCTTGGATAGCTCGCTGCTGTCCTCGTGGCTCGTCTCGGCCAGGCGGTTGTAGAAGCAGTTGAACTTCTCCTCGAACTCCTTGCTCTTGAACGCCACAGGCGGCTCCTTCCGGCAGCAAGCGGGACACAAGTTGTCGTTCCTCCGTCGCGCGTAAGGCGGCGAGCGCGGCGGCGGTCCACTCCTCGCCGAGTCGTCGACGGCCAGCTGCCGACAGAGCTGCGGCTTGTCGCGACTCGAGGCCCTCAGAAGCCGTCCGGACTCCGCGCCAGCCCTCGCGGGGGGCCGCGCGTTCCCGTCGCTACTGACGGACGATCGCGACATGCGCACGGTGGAGGTGGACGAGTCCTGCCTGCTGCAGGACAGACTCGAGTCCTGGGAAGCCTTGCGTCCCACCACGGCCCACGAGCTGCCCCTGCCCAGCAGGCGCAGTGGGATGCTGCCCTGGCGCCAGCTGTCGGAACGCGAGGAGAAGTTCTCGCTGGAGATGCTCGAGGCCCGCTGACCGCCACGCTCCATGGTGCGCTGGATGCGCGCCAGGGCGTAGTTGTAGGCGTCGGCGTCCACCTGCATGCTGTCCGGATCGCGACAGAGGAGGTAGCGCAAGGCGAGCGCCTTCCAACCGCTCGGCGCGCGGGCCGTGCTCTTGGCCAGGCCACACTGGCACGGGGGCCCCGGCGCCTGCTGGTCGGTGAGCCTCTCGCCCGCAGAGTTGGTGCCCAGCAGCGTGTGCCGGTTCGAGAAGTTGGAGCTGTGGCGGCAGCGGCCGATGCCCCGGGTCACGCGGGACTCCTCGATGCGTTTGCAGATGAGGACGCAGTCTCGCTTGAACTGCTTGGTGAAGATGGCGTAGAGGAACGGATTGGCGCAGCTGTTGAGTGGCAGTACGAAGATGGTGAAGACCTTGGCCTCTTCCAGCGACACCAGCTGGAGTCCGGCCACGGCCGTGAGCGAGAAGAAGGCGATCGGTGCCCAGCACAGGAAGTCAGTGAACACCAGGAGCGCCATGCGCTTGGCGATGCGCGAGTCGTTCGAGTTCCAAGCGTGTGAACCGCGGATGGCGCAATACATCTTCAAGTAGCAGCCCATGAGGATGAGGAAGGCGACACCGTTCACAAGGATCAGGGACACGACGTAGGCGAGGGACGCCAGCGAGTCTTCCGTTTCGAAGGGAAGGCACACGGCGAACTTGCGGTAGTCGCTCACGCCAACCAGCGGCAACACAGCCATGACGAGCGCGAAGAGCCAGCCGCAGCTCATGATGTAGCCGGCGTGCTTGAGGGACAGCCGCTTGTTGAGGTGCATGGCGTGGGTGATGGCGTAGTTGCGCTCCATTGTGATCACCGACAGCGTGTACACAGACAGTTCGGAGCTGAGGACGCCGAGAAAACCCGCAGTCTGGCAGCCTGCGGACATCTGCCAGCCGATGCCATAGACCTGCATTACGAAAAGAACGAGATATGCAAGACAAATTGTGCGATCCAGACTTCAAGAGGGCAAACACGATTTTAACCGCATTACTAGATAGGAAGGGGGAAAAATACCATCGTCTCCACTTCCCAAGGGAATATATATCTGCTGCACAGTACCTCGAACGTGCTGGAGGTACGATTTTGTTTACTTGCATACGTAGGGAAAATAATTGTGGTTGTGGGGATATTTATACAGCGCGTTAGTTGGTCAGCCATTTAAAGTTGCGACGGTCACTCGCTGTAGATGAGCAATTTAGCCAGTGCAGTACAACCGCTAGCCTGGGGTCTTTAACGTGCACCACGCAGTAGTGATACACGACCGCACGCCGGTACGATGCTCATCCAGATCGCAATGGGCAGGGGTGGGGATTGAGCCCAGGATCCCTGGGTTCGGCAGCGCGACCTTTCGCTCCACGTGTTCCGATCTGGTGTGCACTAGCCCACTCGGGCACCAAGCCCCACTCGGCCACCAAGCCCCCCCCCCCCCCCCCCCCCCGCCCCCCCATACGTAGGGACCTGCGCTGTTAGTAATTACTAATTTGTTTATACTCATCCCCCTTCCCTCTCTCTCCTCCTCCCCCCTCTCCCCCCCGTCCGCCGGGGGGGAGGGGGGGGGGGGGGGGGAAATAGGCGGATGCCGTCCTCCGAACGGCATCCGCCTATTTTATCCGAGGTTGTCTCCACATTTATTTGCGATCCTCTTTCTCCTTTAAATTTCATAATTAAGAGCAGCGCAAGGCTTGCGCAAAACCAGAAGCAGCTCTATGCATGTGTGCAGGTACGTTTGCGGCAATATTAGATAGTACAGAGTAGTACTACAGCCGATATAGATAAAGTGCCACGTGAGGTGCCTTTAGCACGCTAAGCTATGAAACCTGTCTTGCTACATTGCGATAATAAGAATTGGGCAATCCATTTCAACATATCTTTTTTTTTTTAACAACTTAACGTACACGCGGCTTCCCTCGTGGCTTTTGTGCCGCCCTGGCCAGAACGCCGCTGGGCACCCTGTGCATGTCGTCTACACAGCCTCGTAAACTGTGGTATCTATTCCTACAAGGTCGATACAATGCATCTTAAAGATTACTCTTAAAGGCCTGTTCCCCCATACATCGAAGCACTAGATCAACACGCTGATTTGAACGTAACTTCGTACTGACCAACACTGTATCAGCGCTGTATCTCTAATATAGTGCGAAGTCAGCACTGCATCAGCAAGGTCAGTTCACTTTCCAGCGGTGACTAAGAGCGTTGTAGTAGTGCTGTGGCGTTTGTGTGACCTCAACGATTCTGGCAGAGGAAACAGCTGCTGAACGTGGTCGAACGTACCCGAAATTCACCGAGTGTCGACGCGTCCACGACGGCCAGGAAGCCCAAGTAGACGCCCATGAAGAAGTCGGCAAGCGCCAGGTTGCAGACCAGGAAGCGAGGGACGTCCATCTTGGACCGGCCGAGGGACAGGACGACCACCACCAGGCCGTTGCCCAGCATGGCCAGGAGGAACACAACCCACACGCCGCACCGGAGGGTCCACCAGCCGAACAGGTCCTCACAAGGCATGAACGGCGCTGCGAAAGACACACTTGGCATGTATCGGACCAAGTAACAGACAGTATCTTTGAAGGGGCTCTGACATTCCCAAATTTATTTATTTATATATGGGCGGAAATGAGTGAGTGCCTAAACATACAGAAACGAAAGATGGACAGCGCTTGGGATACGAGCTCAGTTGGTATAGAGCGCTCCACTGGAAATAGAGAGGTCTCTGGTTCGATACCAGGAGCAGACGGATTTTTTCGGTCGCGCACCAGTCACCTAGCTGTGTTGGAGATTTGTGTTTGTCCTTTGTGCCCCTTGTTCCCCTTCTTCAGGGGTTATTTACGTCGTCTAAAAGAAGTTGTTAGTTCTGTTATGTTTGTAAGTACGCGGTTTTCTTTTCAGAATTTGTCAAATGATTCACACAAATGTTTAACGAAACATTTAAATGTATTGATTTTTCTTGTTCCGCTTTACCGCACCCTGTATAAACTAACTGGCAACAGGCGGCTCTGACGTGACATCACGCCTCCGCGGTGGCCCTGTTGTCACCACGGCGCATGCGCAGAAGCTCCATCTCACGCGAATCCGGGTTCAGCGCTCGCGCAGTGCCCAAACCTCGCGCGGGCAAATGCGGGGTTGCTTGGAAACAGTGTGTCGGACAATAACGAAGACCCAGGGCGGGATGTTTCTTCCCGTGTTAAAAAGATGGACGTCCCGGCGTCTCTGATGACATTTTTCTTCAGACTTCATTCGGGCACACACGGTGAAAACGTGGATGGAGGAGAATGGGCTGTTTGTTACTAGGTCTAAAAACTCTCTTGTGCAAATAGCCAGAAACTATAAAACACGTTTTGGTGGATTGCTGGGACGCCATCTTTTTTTGGATGCCCTTCAGCTAACCTTGTAAAAGGACCGTCCTCTGACAGCCCATGGTATCCGATTCTCGCCCACCGAAAGCGATGGCAGAGTAGCGTACGATATTATAATTTTGTTGGGTCCGCATGCCATACGGCGGTGTCGCATGGTGGTGCGGCATACTGATATTGAAGCGCACCCAGTTGAAAGGTAGTTTGTTCAAAGTATGTTCTTGTTGAAAGAAGTTTATAAGACGCATTTTCCTGAACTTCAGTGGCTGCCCGTTTTTTACAACTTGGTAACTTTAAAACATGTTTAACTTTTTCTGTTCACCGAAGTCAGGTTGGCGGCCTTGTACATATGTAAATTGTCATACTAAAAGCAATAACAAAAGAAGAAAAAAGATTGCGGCGTAGCTTTGTGCTAACGCCCCCGCTTCGCGCGCAGCGGACAGCTGCAGGTTTAAATCCCGCGGGATGCGGGCAGTCTTTTTCAGGAGCTTGGCAACATCGACGACGGACTCCCTACTTCGCTAGCTACAACATCAATAACTACAACATTAACAGCGGACGTCATTTCCAGTGGCGGGAAAAGCCCATAACCGCTATCGCTCTAGAGAACTACGGACGACACGGGCTTTCATTAGCCACAAGTACCTGGGCGTGCCCCTGCAACATTGCGCGTGTTAATTCCGCGCTCTTTTACTCCGGGTTTCATTCTTCGAGCACAGCAACTAAACGGAGAATAGTCGACTGGAGCGCGACACACCGAAACTACCGACGGGCAGCATGAACCACTTCCGACAGCACGGTTATGACGAATTTGACATCTCGGGGACACGGGTGGCAGAAGCCGAAATTATTTCCAAGATAAATTAATTAAGGCCTCTGTAAACCGGCAAAGTATAAAGTAAAAAGAAAAAAAAAAAAAAAAAGACGGTGACGTTAGGAAGTTTCTACGAACGTCTCAATACCTCCGAAAGGTTTGAAGACTCGCTTCGAGCGCACATGCGAAAAGTTACCTTGACCGATCTATTTATTGACCATGGACGCCATTCCGATTTAAATGAAAGACAACATTCTTGAACCCGCTTTTTTGACGCAGGAGGCTGTCAAAACTTATCAGATGTTCTCTGCCGTCTGCAGCGCGAGACACAATTCGTCGATGTGCTACGCCGATAGCGGCACACCACCGTTCAATAGATAGCACGTCAAATAGTTTTCAGGAGAGATGCATGAACAAACCTTTTCCACAATGCTAACTGATGTTCCGACTTTCCAATAATAGTATTTTATTGGCTGGGCTAAGCATTCTAAAAAGGGCAGCGGTCCGAATGTCTTATCATCTGGACAACTTTTTTCTGTCGCCGTGCTATCGGCACGCTACCGTTCGATAGGTGAATTCGTTTTCGGGCGAGATGCACGAACGAACCTTTTCCAAAACGCTAATTGCTGTCGTGGCTATCAAATACATCGTTTTTATCTGCTGGATTAGGCACTAAACTGAAAAGAGGCAGCGGTCCGGTTACGGCTTTAGTCTCAGCGGTCTCGACAACATCGCAGCCATCTTGTTTGCGGACGTGACGTCGCGGAGCGCGAAGAACGCGAAGAAGTCACTCGCGCTCCGAGAAATACTCGGTGCACGAAGAGCGCGCTCGAGTGTCAGTCTCCGCTGGCATTCCTTTCCGTTTAGTGGATGGAGCGCCAAACTCTTGCACTCCGGAGCACGGAATTAACGCCCCGATTATCGTGAAAATAGTACTGGCGGGAGGCAACTGTTAAAGTAAAATGTGACTGCCAGGAAGTGGGTGAAGAAGGATTTGACTATTTTTGCGCTAGTGACAGTGTGACTCTGGTATGTTCTTTAAGTGTTCATTGTTCTCGGGTCAATATTCAACGTGCTCATTGTGTGTTCGCGGTATTTATTTAGGCCTCGCAATGGGAGCGAACCTTCGGCCCAAAGCGGGTAGCGTTGGACAATGTCACTTGTTATTCGCCAACTCGTTTCACGATTTATATCTGTCTGTGGCTAATCTGACCCTTTTATTAGAGTGGTAAGGAACCAAATTGTTTGATGCCATACCGTAATTTTTAAATGCGTTAGCATCTATTGCCTTGGTGCATGCGGCCGTCTTTCGTTCGGGCAATCGTGGTTTGGACTGGACTGGTCTCATGAGGCCGATACCCGGTTCCCGCCGCGCCCCTTCGCTTTGTTCGTTCCCTAGTGACGTTCACTTTCCCTCTTACAAAAGGGAAAGAGTCTTTTCGCGGGCTTCCAAAGACGCGCCGCGGGAGCGGGAGAAAAAGGGATCGAGTGACCGTGGCCCGTGGCGGGGGCACAACGTGCGCGACGACGTAAAACCGAGACGCAGCAACGACGCCGTTTGCGCGGAACCGCCGACACCCGGGAGAAAAGATTGGCTCTTCGAAGACAACAGTATGCGAACCGTTGCGAGGTCGGAACCCCGGCGTTAAATGCTCGCTCCTTTCGTCGATAGTCAACGTAGAGACAGCGGTGATTTCGACATCATTTATTGTATCATCGTGTCCGGTGCGGTACGGACCATTGTCGGGATTTCTGAGAAAAGTGGCATCCGCCTGCCGTTTTGTCTTTTTACGTTTTTCGATAGAATACTTGTCCTTTGTAACACGCAAGAGGCTGACCCGGGACATAGTAGAATTGTTGATGCCGACACCAAGATATAGGGCTGTGTATCCTGGAGCCTCAGGGCACGATGCGCTCAGACGAGTTAGACGGGCCTTGGGCCCACAAGCAGTTCAAACCTTTTGTAACAGGTTTGAGCTGAGCTAGTTGGTTCATAGTTCACTTACCGGCCAGCTGAACTAGAAAAAACATACACATAAAGAAAAAACCATTCACACCGCTGGACTAACAACTAACAACGGGAAATCCTAGAGGCACTTGCCATTGAGGAAAAAGGCGATGACTGCGTTAGTGCACCTTCTCTCGTGCTTCACGGGAAAGAAAAAAGATTTCTTCGGGGTTAACATTTTAAGGGGAATTAGGAAAAAAAATGTGAGGTGGATTAGAAAGCTAAAAAGTGGAAAAGAGAATTGTTCCCTCAAGTGTGGCTTGTAGTAGAAGAGGAGGAAAAAGAAAATCAGTTGTTATACTTGGTTTCAGCTTCGGTCCAGACGCAGCCGATGCTAGAAGCGCGAGCATGTGGCCCAGACCAGTGCTTGCACTGCACGAGCGCGCGTGCTTGGCAGGGATGCTGAAAGCCCGGAGCTCGCGCTTGTAGCTTTGGCTGCGTCTGGACCGAAGCTGAAACGAAGTATAGTCCAGCGGTGTGAATGGTTTTTTCTTTATGTGTATGTTTTTTCTAGTTCAGCTGGCCGGTAAGTGAATCAAACCTTTTGTTTTTAACTCCTGTTAAACGCTACTTGTAGATACGTTTTAGAAGCAAAGGGCTACCTCTCTACTGGACAGTAAATTGTATTTTGTGCAAAAAGCCGGATTGCATTGAGCCCGTCTATTTGAATTGTTAAGACGCCTTTTTCTAATGGGACGTGCTACAGCGTACCATTAGCAAAGAGCTCCCATTACCACCACATGGCATTTGTTTTTAAACTGTAGACACTGAGCAGATACCGTATGACACAATCGTGTTCCCGGAGCTCCATAGTATCTGAAAAGGGTGGATGGCGATGCGTCATGCAGGTGTCGGTGTCTGTACCGTCCGTGAGTGAGAAGTGCCTCAGGGAATGCTATATAAAGACGAACAGCGACATGGCGTGGTTGGCAGTTCTAAACAAGTTGACAACCTTAAGGCCTTTTTAACCGTGACCATTATGACTCCCAGCCAAAACACTCGCTGGTAGTCTTTTAGCCTCATGGCTGTTTGTCGGTTGGCAAATCACCGTGTTTGCTTGTTGCTGTCCTTTTCTCTTTTTCTTTCTTACTCTCGTGCATCTCAGGGTCTGTATTATCTTTATGTAAACAACCGGCAATATTAAAAGAAAACAAAAGCCTTGGCGACTCCGAGGAAAAGCACCAGCCTATGGACCCTCAGGTGGCGCTTTCGAATCCCGGCTGAGGGATCCGCAATCTGACGTAGGCTTATTGCGTAGAAGGCGCCGTGTAACCGAAATTCAAAAGACCCTCAGGTGGTTTAAACTTCAAATGAATCTTCAATCCTTCGGTAAGCTGTGCCAGCTGTCCGTTGCCGGTTTAGCACGTAAAACCCCCCAATTTGATGTCTGAAATTTGAGAATGTCAAATTTTTGACGCGGGCTTTTATTTTTGTGTTTTAAGGTCAACCATCCAGCACGCTAAACCATCCAAAATTCCTAGACATCACCCATGAAATTTGAAGGCAGAAGGCTGCGTACTTGCGGAAAAAACGACTAACTTCACAAACAGGAATCTGAAGCTCCCGCGCGAGTCGATGATGTAGATTTTAAAAATGGTGCGCTCTGTATGGTGCCTCAATGTTCTTGGTGATAACACCGCTTCGTAGTACCCGATACAAAGAAATGACTGAAGACAAAATGCGTCGAAGTACTGTGGACAAGCCGGCTAAGAGCCTGTGACGGGAGACGCTCTTTCACGCGCTCCTACGAAAAGCAAAACTAAGTGGCAGCGTTGCGGAATGAATAAAATGACGTCGCCATCCTAAGCAAGGCGCGCATACGGTATACCCCTGTGCACTCTTTCTCTGGACTCGATATTTAGAAAATAACGTTGTAGTACATTTCTCGTGAATACTCTTAATTAATGTCATAGCTTCGGAAACCACTGAATGGCTGAAAATGACTTTGCTATTATGTCACCGCCAGTGAGCGAGAAAATGCTAAGTAAGAAGCTATCATGGTGGGAGAGTAGCGCGCATTTTGCAAAGGCGCGCTCAAACGCTAAATAATTCATTTTCGTATTGCAATTTTTTCTCAGCTATATCACACTCCCGAATCGCTCACGGCCAAAGAAAAGTATGAAGTTTTGGAATGAGAATGTCTCTTTAATACCCTACAACTAGTAAAGTGCAATAAAGGTTCCACCATCAATTTCTAATGAGTTCCTTAACAAATGGCCAGCGCTTTTTTAATCGTACAAAAGGAAGGACTCTAGTGACAACGAAGAGACTCACTTGGTTGTGGAATGCACTGCACGGGGTACTGCATTTCATCGTCGCTCGTGTAGAGTGCCTTGTAATCTTCGAGGTATTCTCCGTAGTACTGCGCCAGGTTGTCTGGAATGATGTAGTCCTGGCCGAACACTTTGATCAGCTGATGCGTGAACTCTTGAAACTTGGACGAAATGTTGTCTGCATGTACAAAACGAAATAAAAAGATAATAATTAAGGAGTCAAGACGTGTACCGAACGATTCTCGCGTGCTGGCCGCTCAATATGAACACGTCAAAAAGCTGAACAAGTCTTATGTTCATAATCACGCTTTCATGTTAACCAATCATACTTTCTTTTGCCTCGAGCGAAACAACTTTTATATTCGCAAGCAAGCGTTAGAAATAATACCAAAAGTTCCCGACAAAAGAGAAACCTCTTTTTGGACCGGGTAGATAAACTATGCATCGTAGAAAGCTCAAACTCTGTGAGAATGGGACGCAAGTGGTTGGGATAAAAACCGAAAGTTTGAGAACATGACATTACCCGAATAAAAAGTCAATTTAGAAAAACTAAAATTCTCAATGAGCCGACGTCCACCTAAGCCTAATAATATTTACCAAGCAAGAAAGAACATTGTGGGCAGCTGTAGCATATATTTCAGTGATTATAGAGGGTGTTTTTTTAATATTTTCTTTAATAACTTGTTAAAAAAAGTGAAATCTACACTTATGTGGTTTGTGCAGGTGAGTTATACGGTCAGAGGGACATAGTATAGGGAGCTAATCGTAACGATCATTCGGCTAATTAAGTATAATTGGTTAGTTACCTTTTAGTTAGTAAAAATAGACACCTGGTTCTAATTATAAACTTGTTAAGCATCATCGAAATCCACTAAATCAACTTTTTTTAGGAAGATACAAGACAGAAGCACCATTTTACGCCGTTCAGAAAAAAAAAAAACAAAAAAACGCACAGTTTCGACGCATTTCTAGGTTTCGGTTTCTTATCGGAGAGCATCTTTGCGTCCGCGATCCTTCTCCCCGGTGGTCGCGGCGTGAAGCCACCCCTTCGCCTCCCTCGTAAAATAGAGGGAAGTAGAGCATAAGGTGTGGGTTGCGCGACTCAGGACAGCGGGCGCAGAGATGCGCTCCGATAAGAAACCGAAACTTAGAAACGCGTCTAAATAAAGTGTTTTTACGAAACGTCTTAAACTGCTGCCCCTGCATTATATCTTTCTAGAAAGAGTTGATTTCGTTGTTTTCGACGACGCTGGACAAGTTTCTAATTCTAACCATATGCCTACTTTCACTAATTAAAATTTAATTAACAAATTTCACTTAATTAGCCAACTGATATTGACGATTATCCCCCTATACTATGTCCCCTTGGCCGTATAGCTCATCTGCACAAACCACATAAGTATAGCTTTCACGGCTTTTTTTAAACAAATCTGTTAAGCTTAAAAAGAAACACAAAAACACCCTGTAAGCAAGAAAGGAAACAATATTCTCTTTCTTGTTGGCAAGTATATTTCGCTGATATAAATCCCCCAAGCGTCCATAATGTCAGCTCTTGTATTGACGATATCACATTTAGGTGGACAATGGTCCATAGATAAATTTCGTCTTTCTCAATTATCTTTTGGTTCAGGTAACGAAATGTTCTAAAACTTTCGCGTTCTATCCCAACCGCTAGCGTCACATTCTCACGAATTCCGAGCTTTCTGCGATGCAGTTTATTTACACAGGCCTAAAACACGGTTCTCTTCTTTTGGGAACACACTGTACATCTTCTTGTTAATGTCTCGAGGAGTATTAAACACTAATCTTATCGTGAAGAAAGTAGGCCAAAAATAGCATGAATTGAGCTAATTTCGTTTACACTTTTTTGTTCGCAGAGAACCGACAATATACATAAATTAAGGTATAAATCTTGGTTTTCGGAGTTTATTTTTGGTGAAACGCGAAGTTTCTATTTCAGAATTTGTGTTTATCCGATTTATTGCTCTTAGCAAATATTACTTCGCTTTAACTCGAAATTAAAAAAAAAAATGTTTATTTATGCAGCTAATTTTTCAAAATTATGAATAAAAAGAAATGATATCCGCAACCAAATGCAGTACGAACCATTTTAATTATGAGAAATATAATAAAAGAGATAATTTTTTTTAAACAAACCATTAACAAAACTGTTTCTAGGCTTTAGAGGACCGAATGGTTAGAGTCGGTCAGAGGCTAAGAGTGAAGTGAAAGTTCCTCCTACCTCTTTCCACTTTAGCAAAGCGAACGCTCGAGATGATGCTGCCTCCTCTCCAGCGTTTGCTCTGATACAAGTAGAAACAGGTAGGGGAGCTTACACTTTGCACTTAACCTGCCACCGACTATAGCCTAAACTCGAAACCTGAACAATGGTTAGCCCAATCATTTACCCACATCGATCTTTGTCATAATCCCCATATTTAACATGAACCAGCTACTCCGAACGAGTAAAATGGTTTAGAATAATGTAAACTTTCATGTTTCTCTAAAACTTGTTTTGTCATTATGACATCAAATACCGAAGTGTTTCGGATGACTTCGAACTGAGGAAAAAAAAGTAGCAACAAAGGCCCCTGGTGGTTTTTCCGGTTTTATTCGAAGACTCTTACCAAGTAACTACAATTCCGTTTTATAAAGTACAAAATATCTTGCAAATCATACTACGCCACCAAACTTCCAGTACAAGTTATGTCTAATATGTCTAACTTCTCGGTTACGTCACAGTGAGGCCTTCGAGTCGCGGTATTTGAAGCCTTGCTTGCAAGACTTCAAATGTCTTACGTTGCAAATACGCTGCAACGTATGTCTTTTTTCACTCGATTTTTCCATTCATTTATTTAGAAATGGACGAATGAAGCTGCAACGCAGAGTTGGATTTTATACGACAACGAATTTTTTCAATGTAGCTGTTGACCTTTCAAAAGTCATTAGCCACGCTAACGCGCTCAGCGGATATCTCACTATCATAGTCGATTGAACGCTCCGAATTGCGAGTGCAAATATCCTCGGTATCTTGCAAGACGGTACCTTTCGCAAGACGTTATCTTGAGCAAGACGGTACCCTGCGCAATACAGTACCTTGCGGAAGACGATACTTTACGCAAGACGGTACTTTGCGCCAGACGATACTTTGCGCAAGACGATACTTTGCACAAGACGGTACTTTGCGCAAGACGGTACCTTACGCGAGATGGTACTTTGCGTAAGACGGTACCTCGTGTAAGATTACAGATGTGATTGCATCGTCTCTGAGCCACTGCACCGGATGATTCGCTTGAACTTGATTGTTGACTTCGAATGGGCCTTCAGCACTAGAGTTTCATGCAGAGGTTTCATGATACAAACTGCGCCCATTTGCGGCAATTTAGAAACCGTTCCAATCGTGCAAACAAATGTAGAGAGACGGCCATCGCTGTCATGCAACGAACGCGGTTGCTGCCTGATATTATGATTCTAGTGATGGCGCTGTGGGGCAATGGGGTGGTTCTCACCCTGAGCGTGAAAAAACGTGGCTGAAGACGGTGCTGTTCCGCAAAGAGTAGCAGCAACGTCGGGTTAACGCTGATCTACAGATCTACAAAAGTTCCTGCCACAAGGATAGGTGACCTTGGAGTTGGACCAGGCAACCATGTCGATGAAGTAGCGCTAAAATACGACAGAAAAGAGTAAAAGAGATGCTGACCGGGAAAGACGTCAAGACCGGAGGCGTTGCTAAGACTGGTCCACTTGTCCATGTCCACTTCCTCTCGCTTGAGCCACAGCACGGCGTCCTTCACCACCGGGGTGACGTCAGCACCTTCTTCGCTCGGCAGATACGAACAGCAGTGGTACGAGTACGACAGGTACAGCCTCTGGATTCGCGGGAAGGCCTCCGGAGGAGGGAAGTTGCGAAGGTAACGGTTTCCGGACGTCACCAGTCGGTGAAGTCCTCGGAGTCCTCGGTAGGGCATCACAGAGAACGCGTTATCCGCCAGGTTTCTGGGATCGAAGCCGTGTACCACGATCAGTTGTACGCTCAAGAAATTTAAACGCATAATGATAAAAAAAAAATGCACTCGTATATAAGCTATGCGGAGCGCGATTTTGTCTGCTTCTTGTAGAGGGGTTGCGATGACGTCAGAACGCTGAACTCTTAATGGCTGATTGAAAAAGATAGTGGGTAGACCTCGAGGCATCTAGCATTGAGGTGTACCCACTATCCTTTCAATCAAAGCCAATCAGAGCTCGGCGTCGTTTTGACGTCGCCGCAACTGCTGTACAAGAAGCAGACGACTTGTTCTCCGCATATGCGCCGTACGCCGGGTTTGCTACGCTGAGCGTCGAAGTGTAGTATCTCATTCACATGGCCAGCATAAAGTTATACCTTTTTACATGGGTCCTTTTGCAATCGGCAAATCAGCCAGCGTTCTAAAGGTCGCGAGCGCACCATGCCACGCGCGGAGAATCGCGAACTGATTCGCCGCCGACCATAAAGTTCCCTTAGCTAAAGGGACCTTTATAATCGTGTGGATGGGGTAGAAGAGGGCCTTCATAGCGGTATTTATTCAGGAGCGTCAACCCCCCCCCCCCCCCCCCCCTTTGCTGCAAGAAGTGTGGCCTAACGTTTCGGAAGTATGTTTCATCTTTCAACGCTACTGGACAGAGACGGTGGACCAGTTACCTCAAGCCACAGTCCCTCTGCTCGTTCATTGTACAAAAGACACGAAGTTCTTCGCGGACATGGTGACAGAAGTATCTGCGGACACGCCTCAATTATGCTCGAAGTACGTTTGCTTCATGTGCTTTGAGCATGTCTGCAGACAGTTTTGGTGTGACCAATGCTACAGGTCCGCCATACAAGAAAGAAACTGGCCTTAGACAACGTCTGCAGAATATCTTTTGTATGAGGTATCAGCAGTGGGACCGCAGCTTAACGATTGATGCGATTGTTGCGAGAGGAGTCGCGCGTACGCATATCTACGCGTTAAAAACAAACACAATACGTTTCCCTAAAAATTGCTTAGAGCTTCAAGTTCAGGCGTGGTTGCGGTTGTTAAAAAAGTTTACTCGAAACAAGAGGGTGTTCATTAAGTGAAGATGCAAAAGATATGGTCCGGGAAGCGATAAATAAACCGGAAAAAAAAAAATTGCTAAACTACGTTCTATCCTCGAATTTCTGGTTCATCTGGTTATCGGGGAGCCTCATTAGCTAAACATGGACATTATATTACATTAGATTTTGCTTGTTTTACTGTTCTACAAGATACGTAGTCATTTGAAGATAGTACGACGGTAAACGCTGAAATCAAAACACTCCGGCTCGATCGCGGTGTATGATCAGTTCACTCTCAGATCGCTCGAAGTGGATCGGTGATTGTTCACACGGTGATTTTGTTTCGATCAGGTTGGACCATGGTAACAAAAGATTCTGTTCATACAAACAATTTTGACTTCTCCCAATATCGTTAAGAAAACTGTTTAATCTGAACAAGCATTGAGCACGTTCGTTAACAGCCAGCAGCTTTGAGTTAATCTGCTTACGCAGGGGCTTACGCTGGCGATTCAGTGGAGCAAAAATGTTCGGTAGATATTTTAAAAAATGCATCAAAAGTGTTGCACGTGATTTCAAGAAGGCAATGCAAACGCAGGTACCGTACGTTCAAACCGGTAGATGACAACGTTTGTTCGGCGAGAGGATTAATAAAATAATGTAGTACAGCCATTCTGCACAGGTGTATGTTTTGTTGACGACAACGTAAAGGTATTTGCAAGAACTTAAAAGAACCCGAGTTTTGCAGAAAATGCTTGGCCGATTACTGGTGGTTTCTTGAATATCCGTTAACAATAATGTGACGTATTCTGAGTCGCTCTACACGACTTGCCAACGTAAGGCATCTTAATTATCAAACTAAGCTACTTACAGGTCCTGCAGCTTCACAGTAGGCAAAAAAGCGTCCGAATGTATCTCTGTTATGCCGTTCTTCTGCAGTGCCCTGCCAAGAAAGTCAAACAGAGAGACTCAGGTAGAGAACACACCATGAAAGGCGCGAACAAAAACAGACGTAAAAGTTTCAAAGCGAAACGGATTGATATTGCGATACAGATTCGCGCACTCACAGCACTTGCAGAGACGACAGGCCGTAGAAAGAGTTGTCCGCGACCTGGCGTATAACGTTGTTGCCCAGGTTGAGGTCTCTGAGCTTCTTAAGTGTTTTGAAAGGAGAATCTTCTAGGGACTGAATCCGGTTGTACGTTAGATCGCTAAAAAAAGAAAAAGAAAACATGTTAGGAAATAGGGTTAATCGCTTTCAGGCATTTAGCTAATCGAGACGACCAGACAGACGTGGGAGGAAATGAACGTAAACCGCAAGTGTATTAGTCGGGAAGTCTCATAATGGCAGCCGATTCACTGAGAGACATCCGTTGTCTGCTTCAGGTAACATCAGTTGCCGGTCTCAAGTTTCTGGGAAATTCATACCCTAGGCACCGCCAACTTAAGAATCGCAGGGTGTGGCTTATTGTGTCCACGCTTCTCACTTCGCGATTCGTAACTCGGGGTTCTTATCGGCTATTGCCGTAATCAGATTGGCTGTGTAGCGGCAGTAGAATGTTTAGGACCAGCCAGGCCCTGCATTGCTTAAGTTGTCAGTTACCACAGGTTATAGTAAACCACTTTACAAACTTCCCGTATGAGGATGGTGATCCAAAATATGCCTGCATTTCTTATGTTGTCAGCGGCTATAGTTTATGGTAAACCGCTCTACTGACTTTCTCGAGCGAGGATGGTGACCCGAAAGATGCCTGCCTTTCTTACGTTGTCAGGGACTAAGGGTTTCGATAAACCGCTTTACTGACGAAAGATGCCTGCCTTTCTCGTGCGACTATGGTGGACCAAAAAATGCCTGCTTCTTTATGTTTTCAGGGACTATAGTGTATAATAAACCATTTCCTGACTTTCTCGCGCGAGGATGGTGACCCAAAAGATATCTGCGTTTGTAATGTCTTCGGGGACTAAAGGGTAAAGTAGACCGCTTTACTGACTTTCTTGTTCGAAGATGTTGAACCAAAAGATACCTGCGTTTCTCATGTTTTCCGGGACAATAGGTTATGGTAAACCGCTTTTCTGATTTTATCGTGCGAGGACGGTGACCCGAAAAATGTCCGCGTTTCATGTGTTTTCAGGGACTACAGGGTGTGACAAACTGCTTTTTTAGCTTTCTCGTGCGAGGATGGTGACCTGAAAGATGCCTTCATTTCTTAAGTTGTCAGGAACTATAGATAATGATAAACCGCTTTTCTGACTTTCTTGTGCGAGGGTGATGACCCAAAAGATGCCTGTGTTTGTTATGTTGCCAAGGATTAAGGGTTATGGTAAATCGCTTTCCTCACTTTCTCGTGCGAGGATGGAGACCCAAAAGATGCCTGTTCATGTTATGTTGTCAGGAACTATAGCTTATGGTAAATCGCTTTTCTGACTATCTCGTGCGAGGATGGTGGCCCAAAAAATGTCCGCGTTTCTTGTGTTTTCAGGGGCTACAGAGTGTGGCAAACTGCTTTTCGTGTGAGGATGGTGACCCAAAAGGTGCCTGTTCATGTTATGTTGTCAGAAACTATAGCTTATGGTAAATCGCTTTTCTGACTATCTCGTGCGAGGATGGTGACCCAAAAAATGTCCGCGTTTTTTGTGTTTTCAGGGACTACAAAGTGTGGCAAACTGCTTTTCGTGCGAGGATGGTGACCCAAAAGGTGCCTGTTCATGTTTTGTTGGCAGGAACTATAGCTTATGGTAAATCGCTTTTCTGACTATCTCGTGCGAGGATGGTGACACAAAAAATGTCCGCGTTTCTTGTGTTTTCAGGGACTACAGAGTGTGGCAAACTGCTTTTCGTGTGAGGATGGTGACCCAAAAAATGTCCGCGTTTCTTGTGTTTTCAGGGACTACAGAGTGTGGCAAACTGCTTTTCGTGTGAGGATGGTGACCCAAAAGGTGCCTGTTCATGTTATGTTGTCAGGAACTATAGCTTATGGTAAATAGCTTTTCTGACTATCTCGTGCGAGGATGGTGACCCAAAAAATGTCCGCGTTTCTTGTGTTTTCAGGGACTACAGAGTGTGGCAAACTGCTTTTCGTGTGAGGATGGTGACCCAAAAGGTGCCTGTTCATGTTATGTTGTCAGGAACTATAGCTTATGGTAAATCGCTTTTCTGACTACCTCGTGCGAGGATGGTGACCCAAAAAATGTCCGCGTTTTTTGTGTTTTCAGGGACTACAGAGTGTGTCAAACTGCTTTTCGTGTGAGGATGGTGACCCAAAAGGTGCCTGTTCATGTTTTGTTGGCAGGAACTATAGCTTATGGTAAATCGCTTTTCTGACTATCTCGTGCGAGGATGGTGACCCCAAAAATGTCCGCGTTTCTTGTGTTTTCAGGGACTACAGAGTGTGGCAAACTGCTTTTCGTGTGAGGATGGTGACCCAAAAAATGTCCACGTTTCTTGTGTTTTCAGAGACTACAGAGTGTGGCAAACTGCTTTTCGTGTGAGGATGGTGACCCAAAAGGTGCCTGTTCATGTTATGTTGTCAGAAACTATAGCTTATGGTAAATCGCTTTTCTGACTATCTCGTGCGAGGATGGTGACCCAAAAAATGTCCGCGTTTCTTGTGTTTTCAGGAACTACGGAGTGTGGCAAACTGCTTTTCGTGTGAGGATGGTGACCCAAAAGGTGCCTGTTCATGTTATGTTGTCAGAAACTATAGCTTATGGTTAATCGCTTTTCTGACTATCTCGTGCGAGGATGGTGACCCAAAAAATGTCCGCGTTTCTTGTGTTTTCAGGAACTACAGAGTATGGCAAACTGCTTTTCGTGTGAGGATGGTGACCCAAAAGGTGCCTGTTCATGTTATGTTGTCAGAAACTATAGCTTATGGTAAATCGCTTTTCTGACTATCTCGTGCGAGGATGGTGACCCAAAAAATGTCCGCGTTTCTTGTGTTTTCAGGGACTACAGAGTGTGGCAAACTGCTTTTCGTGTGAGGATGGTGACCCAAAAGGTGCCTGTTCATGTTATGTTGTCAGAAACTATAGCTTATGGTAAATCGCTTTTCTGACTATCTCGTGCGAGGATGGTGACCCAAAAAATGTCCGCGTTTCTTGTGTTTTCAGGGACTACAGAGTGTGGCAAACTGCTTTTCGTGTGAGGATGGTGACCCAAAAGGTGCCTGTTCATGTTATGTTGCCAGGAACTATAGCTTATGGTAAATCGCTTTTCTGACTATCTCGTGCGAGGATGGTGACCCAAAAAATGTCCGCGTTTCTTGTGTTTTCAGGGACTACAGAGTGTGGCAAACTGCTTTTCGTGTGAGGATGGTGACCCAAAAGGTGCCTGTTCATGTTATGTTGTCAGAAACTATAGCTTATGGTAAATCGCTTTTCTGACTATCCCGTGCGAGGATGGTGCCCAAAAAATGTCCGCGTTTTTCGTGTTTTCAGGGACTACAGAGTGTGGCAAACTGCTTTTCGTGTGAGGATGGTGACCCAAAAGGTGCCTGTTCATGTTTTGTTGTCAGGAACTATAGCTTATGGTAAATCGCTTTTCTGACTACCTTGTGCGAGGATGGTGACCCAAAAAATGTCCGCGTTTCTTGTGTTTTCAGGGACTACAGAGTGTGGCAAACTGCTTTTCGTGTGAGGATGGTGACCCAAAAGGTGCCTGTTCATGTTATGTTGTCAGAAACTATAGCTTATAGTAAATCGCTTTTCTGACTATCTCGTGCGAGGATGTTGACCCAAAAAATGTCCGCGTTTCTTGTGTTTTCAGGGACTACAGAGTGTGGCAAACTGCTTTTCGTGTGAGGATGGTGACCCAAAAGGTGCCTGTTCATGTTATGTTGTCAGAAACTATAGCTTATGGTAAATCGCTTTTATAACTATCTCGTGCTAGGATGGTGACCCAAAGAATGTCCGCGTTTCTTGTGTTTTCAGGGACTACAAAGTGTGGCAAACTGCTTTTCGTGTGAGGATGGTGACCCAAAAGGTGCCTGTTCATGTTATTTTGTCAGAAACTATAGCTTATGGTAAATCGCTTTTCTGACTATGTCATGCGAGGATGGTGACCCAAAAAATGTCCGCGTTTCTTGTGTTTTCAGGGACTACAAAGTGTGGCAAACTGCTTTTCGTGTGAGGATGGTGACCCAAAAGGTGCCTGTTGATATTATGTTGTCAGAAACTATAGCTTATGGTAAATCGCTTTTCTGACTATCTCGTGCGAGGATGGTGACCCGAAAAATATCCGCGTCTCTTGTGTTTTCAGGGACTACAGAGTGTGGCAAACTGCTTTTCTGGCTTTCTCGTGCGAGCATGGTGACCCAAAGAACGTCTGCGTTTCTTATGTGTTCGAGGACTATAGGGTATGGTGGACCGCTTTACTGACTTCCTCGTGCGAGGATGGTGGACCGAAAAGATATCTGCGCTTGTAATGTCTTCGGGGACTAAAGGGTATAGTAGACCGCTTTACTGACTTTCTTGTTCGAAGATGTTGAACCAAAAGACACCTGCGTTTCTTAAGTTTTCCGGGACAATAGGTTATGGTAAACCGCTTTTCTGACTTTCTCGTGCGAGGATGGCAACCGAAAAGATGTCTGCGTTTCTCATGTTTTCAGGAACTATAGGGTATGGTAAATTGCTTTTCCAACTTTCTCGTGGAGGATGGTGACCTAAAAGATGCCTGCATTTCTTATGTTGTCAGGAACTATTGGTAATGATAAACCGCTTTTCTGACTATCTCGTGCGAGGATGGTGACCCAAAAGATGCCTGTGTTTGTTATGTTGTCAGGGACTAAGGATTGTGACAAATCGCTTTCTTCACTTTCTCGTGCGAGGATGGTGACCCAAAAGATGCCTGTTCACGCTATGTTGTCAGGAACTATAGCTTATGGTAAATCGCTTTTCTGACTATCTCGTGCGAGGATGGTGACCCAAAAAATGTCCGCGTTTCTTGTGTTTTCAGGGATTACAGGGTGTGGCAAACTGCTTTTCTAGCTTTCTCGTGCGAGGATGGTGACCCAAAAAACGTCTGGGTTTCTTATGTGTTCGAGGACTATGGGTATGGTGGACCGCTTTCCTGACTTTCTCGTGCGAGGATGGTGGACCGAAAGATGCCTGCGTTCTTTAAGTTTTCAGGGACTATAGTGTATAATAAACCATTTTTCTGACTTTCTCGGGCGAGGATGGTGACCCAAAAGATATCTGCGTTTGTAATGTCTTCGGGGACTATAGGGTATAGTAGACCGCTTTACTGACTTTCTTGTTCGAAGACGTTGTACCAAAAGTTACCGGTGTTTCTTATGTTTTCCAAGACAATAGGTTATGGTAAACCGCTCTTCCGACTTTCTCGTGCGAGGATGGAGACCCAAAAGATGTCTGCGTTATGTTATCAGGAACTATAGGGTATGGTAAATTGCTTTTCCAACTTTCTCGTTGGAGGATGGTGACCTAAAAGATGCCTGCATTTCTTATGTTGTGAGGAACTATAGGTAATGATAAACCGCTTTTCTGGCTTTCTCGTGCGAGGATTGTGAACCAAAATATGCCTGCGTTTCTTATTTTTTCAGGGACTATAAGGTATGGTAAACCGCTTTACTGACTTTCTCGAGCGAGGATGGTGACCCGATAGACGCCTGCTTTTCTTATGTTGTCAGGGACTATGGGTTATGGTAAACCGCTTTACTGAACATCTTGAAATGGAACAGCGGCAAAAAACTTCGATCCTGTCGCGTGTGTTTCTTTACCCTTGTCCAAGATTTTTGCTGCTCTTCCTTCCCAAGATGTTCAGTTCAAATCTACTAGCACAATACGTCAAATTGTTGCGCTTTACTGACTTTATTGTGCGAGAAAAAAGTTGAAGGACGACATAAAAGTAGCTGAACTCACAGGATGAGAAGCTCCGAACAGTTGGTCAGGACCGGAACTGCCGTGAGGTGATTGGACATGAGGTAGCTGGCAGCGAACAGAAAAGAAGATACAAATCTCGTTAGATTCTCAACGATAAACGTCATAACATAAAACCCCAATGTTTTCGATCATGATGGTTACCAGACTGCCTGCATAGGCTCGCTTCTTGCAAGGATAAACATGTCAATCAAAAGGGATACAAATGAATTATTAAAAAAACAACGACGCAAGTTAAAATATATATATATATATAAACGCACAGATAAGGTCAATCATAGAGAAACAATTCCGCTCCCCCTTTTGCATTATTAGCTTCCGTGAGGTCTTTCATCATCGGTCCTGCCACATTTTGTATTTTTGTACGAGTGATTTTGTGCATTATGGCCCTTCCAATTTGTCTTCCTTACCCCACGTCTTCAAATTTCGCTGGGTTTTAATCTGCATTGTAATTTTTCAGCCCGCTTTTTGTCTCCATTCACGCTATATGTTTCGAGTTCGTTCACACGGTCCATTTTTCATTCTGAACCGCATTTTCAATTTTCCTAATTTTCCAACTTTTTTTTCTTTTTAAACTTCAGTAACACCTCAAACTCCGGCTTGTCAAAATTTGGGCACACTTTTAATCACTTTGACTTCCCCAATATTAATGGGTTGATTGGCGTTTCCGCTTTCTGTGTCGCAACATTTAAACTGACGCGCTGCACAATCGCCACGCAGCTGTAATGCGGTGGTCGGGTACGGTAGGATATAATGGTGAATTTGTTACAGATTCAACAAAAAAAAAAAAATCGCCTGTCTCTGATATTTCCAACGGCGATCTAAATGCGTATCATTTATAGGTCATCTACAGCGTCACGTTGTCCCTTGACATCACGGTTCCGTCCCGTCACATCACGTCGTGGGGACACGCGACCTTCAGGAAAGCACGTGGCAAGGACACTTCACGTCGGGACGTGAACCCAGGTCACGTGACGTCAAGTAGATCTATACATGCTTTGCACTTAGAAGTTCTGTGGGAATGACGTGTCACGTGACATGACATCATGCAACACATGTCACGTGACGTTAGTTGGGCTACATCCCATCGTGAGAGCGAAAACTGTAAGAGCCGGCCCTATAAATGCTATGCATTTTAATAATCCTCTTTTAATAAAGTAGGGTACTGACTCGTCTTAAAACTTGTTCCATCTGGCTCCCCACCATTCCGTACCAACGCTCGCCCCTTCTCCCTTATTTTCATAACCCCCCCCCTCCCCCCCTCCCCCCTAACCCCGCGGACCCTTCCATACCCCGTTATTTTCTTCACCCGCAATACACGCAGAGACCAATCAGAACACGGAACACGGCGCCGCAGTCTCTCATTCCGGCTGTCACGGTCTCCCTTCGAGTCCCACAGAGTTGACTCTACTCTCCCCACAACGCAGCGACCCTGGCGCCAAATTGCTCGCGCGCTCGTTCCCTTTTCGGGAAGCCGAAACGAGAGCGAGCGGGGAGAGACCGAGTGTGAGTCAGCGATTCCGGTGGCCGTTTGTCATCGGTGCCGCTCAACCGGGTCGTAAATCTCGCGCGGCCCCGGGGTCCAGCTCTAAACCCCGCCTAATGAGCGCCGAGGGCACAGACCAGACCCCGCTTCGGCGAGGGGTTGTAACACGGATAATACTCCGTGTTCAGCGGGGGGACGGAAAAGGGGCCGCTGCTGGTTTCCGAGCCACGGTCGGTGTGCTTGCGCAAGCGTGACCCGTTCCTTATCTCTTCCTCCTCTCTCTCTCTTGCTACTTCTCTCTGCAGTTGGCAGCGGAAGTAGACTACGGTCGCCCGACTTTCCAAAAAAATGGGTTTCCGTAATACGTTCTAGGATGTCTGTTGTGGAAGATGGTGCGCACGATAATGCCCGGTTATGCCGTACTTTGTTTCACCTTGCGATAGACCGCATCGGACGCTACGAGCCACTGCAGTCAATCCAGATCTGCGGTCGTATCGCGTGGCCGCGCGTCTGGTGCGTCACTGCGCCCCAACCCGAGGTCACGTGACAGTCACATGGCATTAGATTGGTTTCCCGTGCGGTTCATCACAAGGCGAAACGGAGTACAGCAATCACACTGCACTGGAAAATACAAACAAATATATATATACACCAATCACAGCGGAGACATCACGCATGCGGAGCGCAAGTTCGTCTGCTTCTTGCAGAGGGGTTGCGATAATGTCAGAACGCCAATATCTTATTTGCCGATTGAAAAAAAAAAATGAAAGCCGTTTACAATTTCCTGTAACGCCGGTTAGAGCGCAGCTCTTGAGGAGGAAGATGGAAGCGTACTGAGGGATAGGTGACTCCTTGAGGTCACGTGACCTCATGGGGTCACGTGACCTTTGGGGGTCACGTGACCTGAAGGGGTCATGACCTTAGGGGGGTCACGTGACTTCAGGGGGTCACGTGACCTAATGGGGTCACGTGACCTCGGGGGGTCACGTGACCTAATGGGGTCACGTGACCTGGGGGGGTCACGTGACCTCGCGGTTACGCCGACGGCGACGCCGACGACGACGCCAACGGCGACGCCGACGCCGCTCAAGCCGGAAACGAGCCCCTAAGAGCTTCGCTCTAAAAAAAAAGTGTGAGTGGACCTCGAGGCATCTAGCATTGAGCTCTACCCACTATCCTTCCAATCCAAGCCAATCAGAACATGGCGTCGTTCTGACGCCACAGCAAACCCTGCCCAAGAAGCAGACGACTTGCTGTCCGCATTGGGGCCATCTAACCTCCCGTTGCCTAAACATACAAACAACGCAATTACGATCTACAGCTGAGAGACTCGTCGCCCGTTGAGGCAGACCAAGTTCTACCTGTATAGACGTACACACACCCCAATTTTTTTAGGCTACAGTGAACTAGAGGAGGGGTGGTGAAATCAGGCACCGACACGCGCCATGCATTGCTATAACGCGGCGAGCGTGGAAAGGTCCCGGATGTACGTGGAGGCGCTGCGGTAGCATGGGCTGGAAGATCCAAGTGTTCCAAGGCTGGAGGTCCTCGCGGCGAGCAGGTTTGGCAGCGTGAACTGGCAGCGCGAACAGATCGTTCCCCCGTGTTTTCTGTCGCTTATGTCTATTGAAGTGCAATGCGGAATCGAATGCGAGGACAATGACGACGGCGACGACGACAGCGCCAGTAGCGCAGCAAATGCTATGTGATGCATGCGCACTGTAGCCCAAGCTTCAGTGCCACCCTCTGGTGCCGTCGGCACGATATGCGGTAGCCGTGAGCCTCGCTGAGCTCCCTGCCATCTATAGTTCACTTTACCTAGGCCACATGTGAGGAAAGCACGTTTAACATGAATCGGAGTTGGTCACATATGTTTAAAGGGGTGCTGAACCAAATATTTCAGTGTACATAATAATTGGCGCACGATCTTTCCACAAGCCAGCAGCCGCCATCAGCCACGCAACGAAATTCACGTCGTGATCCTCCATTCACGCTTAAGATACAGTGAAATGTAAGGGCTCCGGAGGAAAAAAGAATAAGGACATGCTTTTTTATGCGAAAGCATTAACTGCCCCATAGAACAAGCCGACGTCCTCAGCTTTGAAACCTCGCCAAACGGCATCTTAAATCCTTTCTCCAATTGAAGCCAGCTCCCAGCTATGAAACCACGCGAAAAGCCTAGCCCAACAGCACCTAGTTTCCTCAATACCAAAAGAGCGGAGTTAAGCTGATGGATTTCACCTTCGGTGCCATTGGCTGGCGCGCGTCGACGAGGCTTCCATTGGCCGCTGCGCGTCAGTTTCAACGATCGCCACCCCACGGCGCTGCGTGTCCGTCAGCGCGCCGGTAACACAAAACGTCCAAGGTCAAAGCGACGAGGAGAGGGCGCGCTCTGCCGTTGACGAAAATACGCTGCGTACGAAATAAAGCGGGAAACACATGTACGACGAAACCGTCCGATCCGACGTCCGACCGCGCAATACGACGGTCGGAGGCGAGGGTTTTCCACGCTCTCCGATGCTACGAACACCCTCTCCCCCCAAGGTCATTCCGGCAGTCCGCACGTCGGATCGGACGGTTTCGTCGTACATGTGTTTCGCGCTTAAGGGAGTGGAAGAATGACGTGCATGCTTTCGCGTTCACAACTCATAAGAAGCTTAGGTGTGCGTCGAGCCTTTTTATCTCCGCAGTGGGGTCTGGTGTAAAACGTAGGTGATTAATTGATCTAACAAGCAGGTAAGGCTTGTCTTTATTCTCCTTTTTCCCGGAGACCATACTTTTCACTGTCATCTTAAATGGAGGATCATGACGTCAATTTCGTTGTGTGTGCTCGCGCACACCGGCGGCTGCTTGCTCGTGGAAAGATCGTGCGCTACTTATTATGGCCACTGAAATGTTTGGTTTAGTATCCCTTTAAGTCATACTGACCACTTACGAGTCATGAACAAAACGGGAGTTGTCGGAGCTGGTGAAAAGAACTTTGATATAAAGGTCTTGGAAGCGGTAGAATGGCTGCCTAAGTTTTGCTGAGTGACAGAAGATCAATACGTTTTGAAGCAAGTAATTAAGTACGTTGTCTTTGCAAATAAGAGTGATGTCACAAACAAACACGCAAGCAAATTCGTATTAGTTGCGGGGGTGTTCATACAACGGGCCGGACAGTTATATCTTAAAATGACGTTTATGGCCCCACCGTAGTCGTGTAATATGGTTATTCAGTCGAACCGCTAGCTCATAGTTTCTGACGGAAATAAGGCGGTACTGTAGTGCCCAGTGATCTCGTGACCGACTGATGGGCGAATTAAACTTGTTATTTTTGAGTCCATATCAATCTAAACAGAAAAGTTATATTGGCAAGTGAAAAGAGGAAATTGTAACAAGATGACAAGCTCGCCCAGCTTACAACTAAAACTGGTTCACATAAAGAAAAAGGTTAGTCATAGTGCTTTGTATATTTTTGTGTGCCTCCTTCAGCGATGACAGTGGAAATAAAATATTGAATACATTTGAATCGTAGTTTAAGGTCAGTTAAAGGTGACTTTAGCGCACTAAAGTCAGAAAAACAATCATTTCTGTAGTAAGGGATACAAGCAAACACACACACGTGCACACACGCACACACACAGACACACGAAACAATTTACCTTTCAGCCTTATTTCCGGACGTTGGCTTCACTAATTCGTAGACACAGTACCAATATATTAATCAGCCCTAAATTTAGGTCTTTCAGGCGGTTTAGGCTCGCAATCCCACCACAGTCCAAAGGGCAACCATCATCAAAGGGCGTACTACGTGGGCAGGAGACTCACAGTATCTTGAGCTTGGGCACCGTTCGACAGAGATCGGCGGGCACTGAGCTCAGGTGTGCTCTGCTCAGCCGAATCTGCTCCAGGGAGTGTGTGCCGTTCAGGTCCGGAAAGTGGGATAGGTCCCGGGCTTCCTTGACCAGCCTGTCAGATGACATCCAGTACATTCAGTCTAAAGCCATAGTGATGTTTATAGAGGTGTCGCGTTACTTGAGTTAGCAAGACATAGCAAGACTCCTAAGATAAGGCATACGAGGTGTATGAATGAGTGAGAGAATAAACACAGGTCAGCAACCGGCTAGGACTCGTGTTCTCACTGATCGTTCTCACGGATTTGCATCCTTATAGGGTGACGTAAAGATTCGAGCAATACGGTTTTCCTATCCATACTTCATTTCAACCTAAAGGAACACTGAAATGAAAACAAAAGCTTAGATGGGACACGTATATTTCTTAATTTTTCCACGGAAAATAATTATTTGCCGCAATATTTACGCCGTTAGACGCAATGTAGGTGGAGGTAATCTGCTATAGGCCCCGCTCAGGAACGATAGCTATATAGCTACGAACTCTTTCTTGGTTTTTATTGATTGGAGAGATGATTGAAGTGTGGAATATTCTTTGTAAAATCGTTTCTCCTTGCCGCAATAATATTTCATTCGACTTATTTTTTATACAAGGCAGTCAAAGCTACTGCCGCGAGCGCGTGCGCACGGTTTGCTAAACGCTCACATATATATATCAGTGTGTCGAACCGAAAAAAATACGGGTTCGGTTACGGTTCAGGTTCAGGTAAATTTATTTTGTTCCGGTTCAGTTCCGGTTCGATTAATTCGATCCGCGAACCGGTTCGCGAACCGGTTCGGGGCGCTGAACCGGTTCGCGAACCGGTTCGGAAATTATAAATGACAAATTGCAACATCAAAATAAATTACAAATAAAACATCTGAAATCAGCACATACGAAACGGAATACATCTTAGTGTAAGGCTCAGGGATTTCTACCAGGAATGGTTTCTTTATGTGCACTCAAAGGTTACCTCACCGACGTTTACGCATTCGGACTTCATCTAATTGGGTCCGACGCAGTAGCTGTAAAATCCGCGACCTCCTTACAAACCCACTTACAAGTAGAACTCGCTAACTATCCCGCCACCTCGGCGTGTAAGCAATTGAAGGAACAGTGGGGCGAAAATACAGCTTTCTTTATTTGAACTAGCATTCGGTAACTCAAATTAGACCCTTAAAGAAGTTTTCATTAAACAAGATACGGAATATGAAAAAAACTTCACCGAACGCAACGCCAGAAGGACGTAATAGGATAAATATTAAAATAGAAGAGTTCGCTGTCTCACAAATATGTTAGCTTCTAAGTGCCTATACGAAACCGGATGCATTATTATCAAACTCCACAGCCTTTTCTTTTCTCATTCCGATGGAAGCAAGCTTCAAGAACTCGCGCGTTCTAGAAACGTGTTATGAAATGAGCACACAGCAGCATTTAGGATTTACGAGATTGTAGAAAAATGAAATCCCGTGACGCGATTTTTTTTTTTGCACAGCTTTCCAATTCTTTTTTTTCCGTGCAAGCCGCGACCAGCGCAATACTGCATGGTTCCTATGTCAAGATTCATGGATGCAGCGTTTGTCAAGATTCACGGATGCAGCGTTTATATTCCTAAGACTGAGTGGAGAAGAAAAATATGTAAGCGAGGTGTGTGTCAGTTGACGGCACTTAAAAAACAAATGGCATTGATAGCACATTCATTGTCAACAGCGCGTGGCCGAACCGTTTTGACATGAGCCGGTAACCGCTATTTTTTTTTTCCGGTTCAGTTCCGGTTCGGGTTCATCGCGATAACAATATAATGGTTCGGGTTCGGGTTCAGTTCCGGAAAAAATACCGGCTCGGTTCCGGTTCGACACCCTGATATATATATATATCTATATACATATATTTATATATATATATATATATATATTTTTTTTTTTTTTTTCAAAAATATCACGAGATTGATTTTTCCGCTTTGGTTTCAAACGATAACCAACATGACTGCCGGCGTTGGCGGCCAGTGGTTTCACGCACCGCGAAGCTCGTTGACCTCGCCTGTTTTTATCAGTGAGAGTCGTCTCGCGTTCACTGAAGGGTTTAGAGGAAGATATTCTCAACCGACGTCGTTTTCAGCAAACAACTGTCGCAAGCACTCGCCTTCAGAAGCGCTACGCGGGTGCTTGTTTACGTAGATCTGGCTTGATTGTTTGCGCGTTTTAATGCTGAAGAATAAATATGTCGGTTCCCGTAAAAGCGGCGCCACGTACTGCTTTGAGAATCGTGCAACCGTCGTGAATGCGACCATGGCTTTAGTACTGAGAAGCAACCTACACAGGTAATAAATCACGAGCCATTTTACTGGAAGCAATCGGGCCTTGTTCAAGTATATTTCCGTCATTTCGCTTCGAAAGGCCCGTAGCTCTCAAGTGTTGAGCAATGCACCTGTCTTGCCAAAAACAATACTTTTAGCTATTTCGTCGTCTACCCTGAGACTGGGTTTTTTTTTTTAGAAGAGCAGAAGTAACAGAAAAAACAGACAGGTGCTCGCGTTTCAGTTTTGCGCCATGACGCTCACCCACCTTGCTCGCGGATGCTATGCAAGAAAACAAGAACAGGCTCGGAAACTCAATGTACTACATATTTCTTTTGTTCTTTCGGTCGCTTTTTGCGGCCCATCGACATACGCTGGCAGACGCTTGTACTAGACAGTGGCTCGTGCATGATGGAACGTTAAACGCCGATTTCATAGTCACATCTTGCGAGCTTGTCAAACGGTTTTCGACGGTGGCGGAATAGCAGGTGAATGCAAGCGACGGCGGACACGAACGTGCCGCTTTTACGTCTGCATCTTACGGGCGCTGTAGACGGCGATAAACGGTGGTAGAATAGCAGACGACGCCGGAGGCTGCCGCGCGTCTGCTCGCACGACCAGCAGGCGGTACAACACACCGGACTATGGTGCCTACAGCGCGTCTCCGAGTGGTGTGTTTAACGTCCTATCCCGCCCATATGTCAAAAGTTGTCCCGATGGGGCAACAAATGACGTCAGAGAAGCCGGAGTGTCCTGCTGTCGGATGTCGCGATCTTGGCGTTTGGTCGTAGAAATGCTGGCGAAAAACACGAGCGAACGGAAGTGTCGCTGTCATCTCGGCGTCCCACGTTTTGGCTGCCGAAGCTTCCGCGGACGGCAACACTGGAGGGCGACTTGCAGCAAAACGGACGTCTGCCAGAACCACCACCGCTGCTGGGACAACGCCAGGATCGCTAGCGGCGAAAGCATGACATTTCTAAGACGTTATCAAGCGGAAATTGAGGAACCACTTTTTTGAAGGCGATAAACACACCAGTCGGAGACATGTTCCAGACACCATAGCCAGACTAGACGTACCAGACGTCGCGACAGGGAAACATCGGGCTTGTGAGCGTGTTCGGCCGAGCAGCCAAGCCAATCCAGTAGTAACGGGCGGGGCCACTCATTTGTGGGCGGGGCTTAGAGCGGGCTATGACCTCCAGCTGAATTGCGTCGAACAGCATGAACATTGCGGAAAACGTTTTTCCCGTGAAAAAATAACAATATAGAAACGCATCGTAAGTAAAACCGTTATTTGGTTTCTTTTCAGGTTTTTTTTTTTAAATTTAGAAGCAGCCGACGCTAAGAGCTGGTGGGACAAATCAAACAGATTCAAAAGCGCACCATCATGGTGTTCGTTATATTTCTGCACGTGTTCTTTCATCGCTGAACCAATCCTAAACAAAAAAAGACCAGTGACCTGCGCTTTTGACGTTGCTCGATTGGTCTCATTAGCTCGTGGCGCCTGCTGCGTCTGTACTTAAGCTGAAATGAAGTTTAGGATATGTGGGCGATGGGGGGGAAAGGTAGGGGGGATATTAGACCATATCTAGCAGTTCACACATCACTCGCGTCCTGGAGCCAGTTTCCTCGTTCGTCAATCTTCGTGTTCAGTGACGCGACCTGGTTCCTTGAACCATAGTGAGGTGGTCTAGGTCGGCCATTCTTACGCTATACAATGTTACACATTCGAACCAGGAATCAAGCATGAATACACGCGTTGCGAGCAGCTAACTAAGCCAGAATGCCCACATGGCATGGATGATTTTACACCCACTAAAACCTCCGTTCTCGGCGGCAAAATTGGTGCTGTTACGCGTCAGGAATCGCCGATTTTATCACCGTATGGTTCTCGACAGACAGCAGAGAGTTTAAGGAACCGTTTTGGCACATCCTGTACTGCACGATAGGTCCTCCGGTACGAACTACCTTTATGCGAGTCTTCTGTGGTAGCGGATGCGCACGCAGTTCGTACGGGAGGGCCCACCTTACCCTATCGGATGTGCAAAAACGGTTCCCTAAAACTCTCCAGTGTCATAAAATAATTTACGATGAGATGAAAGTTTTTTTTTTTTTTTTTTTTTTGATGCTACCTTCTTGATTAAGGTGGATAACCAAGACTGACGGGCAACACGGAAAAAACAACACAGCGATACAACAGCACGCGACAAAAGAACACGGTGTCGAAACGGTACAGATGTCTGAAATAAGAGTATAAAATAACTAAAAGGACAGTGACATTGTAGCTCCATCATGCGGCAGCGACCGACAGCTTCGGACTATCACTAGCCAACGAACATGCCGTCAATTCCCGAAAGGTGGCGCATCTTACGTATTTTCCTGTTATCTCTCCAGTGTGGGTGGTAGACGCAAGTGTACGCTAGACGCAATTAATCGAAGTAGTCCGGTGCAGCAAGTTGCAGGGATATGGACTTCCACCACTTACAGTCTCTTCAGGTTGGGCAGGCCCGAGAAGGTCTTCCTGTCGAAGGATTCCAGAGGATTGTTGGCCAGCTCGAGCAGCGTGAGGGCAGAGTTGCCCCGGAACGAGTCTTCTGACAGAAAACGAATCTGATTGTCCGAAATTATCCTACAAAGAGTAAAAAAAGACAGCGACAATAGGTTTAACAGGTAATGAAGCGTTAAAACACGCATGAAGCGTTAACACCAACACAAAATAAGATGCCAATTTTCTGAAAAAAAAAATGAAAAAAAAAGAGATAGGCTATGCATCAAAAGATAAAGATATGCACCATTAGGCATCACACTAATGGACGCCTGGCTGATGACGCGAAAATCACTTCGATCGCGCAGAATTTATGCTGTGCTTGAATTTTTCGTTAGACATCTAGAAATTGGCACAAAAACGTATTATAGTTACTAAGCGTATCGCGTACAATGTTTTTTTGTTTTTATCCATTCAAATATATAAAAAAAATATAATAGGAAGACGGACCAGTTAATATATTGCATCAAAAACAAAAGAACCAGAAAGCGGGGCAAGAAAATAGACAAACAAGTAAAGCGCGTGTCTTCTTTCTCGTTCTGTTGTAAATTTTTTTTTTTGTTTTAAACAAAACAAAAACAAAGCGCACGGTTTGTTTTTCTGATGAGAGAACTTATTGAGGCGTTCTTTATTAAGACGAAAGCCTTAAATGTCTCATCGTTCAGTCGACCTTCAAAGTCCTTGAGCGAAAATACGTCGGCAACACGAAAAGTACCAAAACATGTCGGCGACATGGAAGGTACCAAAACGAAAGGAACCAATGAAATGGCGCCAAAAGTGCGTCGTCAGAGAGCGCGCTGTCTTCGGAGATTCGCTGTCACGTTTACATCGGTGCTTGAGCTTTCGCCTTCAAGTCGTCTTAGAGATTACGTGAGACCCTGTGAATTTTGCGAGCCTTGATTTGGCGAAGGGTGCGTCAGCGAACTTTCTTAGGCGCTATTGGAGAAAGAGGTTACGTTCCTGCGGCCAGGAATGAATTGTGTCACGTAGCGATGTGTTTATCTGGGTTATGACGTGGTGCCTGATTGGCAAGTCTGTATGTATGTGTTTTCAGGTTTATTAACTAATCATACTTAAAAAAAAAAAAACGAGACAGAAGAAAAGGAAGGGGAAAACACAACAAAGTCTCAAAACGCAGCTGCGTTTTGAAACTTTGTCTGTGTCGTTTTTTTTTTTTTTTTTTTTTTGCGGTATGAACTTTTACCAGCTAGCCTGCGTCGCAACTCTTTCAGTTATTATCTAAGCTTGTTTTTCTTTCTTCGTTTTTTTTCTGCCATTGGATTTCAGTTGCACGTACAGAAATGTCCTGTCCTGTTCGTGTCTTTTCTACGTTCGCGTTCATTGAGCTGTTCAGCCGCATCATGTAAAGGGTAGGTTGATGTGTCTCAAGTTTGACTCTTGACATGTATCTGTCAACGACGCAAGTTTATCGCTTTCTGGCAGGGGCACAGTGACAGAATGACTCGAGAAAGATTTCTATCCCACAGATCGCGTCACTTGTGAGAGGAAGCGTCCTCCTTATTCGAATTGATGACAGAATTCAACCAACCGCAAACAGCAGTTATATTTCATCGCGCGTACTCCAAGCTGCAAACCGTCAACAATAGAACTTTCCAAAAAGGGGTTGGCGCGTGTGCAGGCTGTTCTGACGCGGCGGCGAAAGCTCGAACTACAATTGGCGTCCGGAAGGGGAGTTCTGAGTCGCGGAGGTGGCGGGAGAGGTAGCGCAGCTCTCATCCGGACGCCAATCGCCCTTCGCGCTTTCGCCGCTTGGTGTCGTCTTGACATGGAGAAGGTCCATTCTGCAAGCAACTGCAAGAGGGTGAATAAAAAAAGAACACCAGTGCTCTTACAGTTCCCTCAGCAGCGGCAAGGAAGCCAGGGCTCCGGGCAGTCGCGTCAGCCGGTTGTGACTCAGGTCGCTGTTGAGAATGCATAAGCGTGTGTTAATCGAGGTAATGTTACACATAGCTTGCCTTTCCACAGCCATAAAGCTGTGACTTACATGGCCTGCAAAGACCGGAGTCCGTGAAATGCTTCTTTGTCCACGATGCCAATCAAATTCTTTCGGAGAATTCTACAAGAGGGGAAAATATTTAATCAATTTATAGGTCACCAGAAAAAAAGAAGAAATATCTTTTTTTATGAAGTGCTTGATTGGTAGCGGCTATTTGCTTTCCAGAGGTTACCCGAATAGTTCGGTTTTTTTTTTTTTTTTGTTTCTTTAAGAAGTCGTTTTACATGAACGTAGTTCCGGACAAACTGATAACAGAAACTTGTAGCATAAGGAAGAAAGAAAGTCAGACTCACAAAACCTCCAGACGTGATGAGTTTCCGAATGCCGATGGTCCCAAGCTCCGAATTTTGTTTTCGCCTAGTCCACTGAAAGAGAGCCCAAACGGAAATAAGGATCAAAATAGCAAAAAAAAAGTCTTAAAAAAAAAGTAAGGCGTGATTTATCTAAAGATCACAATGAGCCATTACTGTATGTCCAGGATTTTATGTACTATTCTTATAAAACCGTCACATAAACCATACCTTAAAAATAATGATTGCTCATAGTAAATGAATGTAAATAAAATAACACCACCGAAGTAAAAAAAAATTGGGGTAGTAAGGTTTTAAGTTGTTCGGTTTGGTAAACGTTTAACTAGGCTAAAAATGGCAAAAAAACAACAACATAAAACAAGGACAGAGCAGAGGAATACACATCGGACACATAAACTTTGACTGGCAACTCAATTATATTACACAAATGAATGACATAAGGAATGTGAAACAAGCGGAAAATTGGCAAGAAGAAATCCCAAGCAAGTGGCAAATCTTTAGCTACCTTTAATTTGACAGTGATTCAATAAACGTCCACAGGGAACTCGAGAAACCAACAGCGACGTCTTTCAACAGTCGCCGGTGCACGTTATGCGAGCGCTATCCCACAGGTTTACCGCAACGGGCGCTACGAGTCATCCGAGACCGGCATCCGAAAGCCAAGTGCATTTTCGCGAGACCTCGTGATAGGGCGCTACGGAACGCAGAGCGCAAGTCCAGGCATCACACTCCCTGTTCGACTGCTTCGGGTAGCCCACGACATTTATCTAGGAAATCTTTGTCTACTCGGCGAATGTCGCTTTTATTTGCGCACCGGTGTATTGCAGAGAAACAGCAAAAGACGAGAACAGAAACTAATAACCAAACCATTACAAATTAATAGAAAAGAAAAAAGCGCGCCATCTAGAGGTTGGTAAAAAAATTATCCGAACCGTCAATGATTGGGCACACACTCTGACCACGTATCGGACGCGAAAATCCGCGTGAGCGTTCGGCGTGACATCGGCTCAGCTTGAATCGAAAACGAGTATTTAGTCAGCGCTCGGCGAAGACTCGGATCCAATCGCACGCAAGGTTAACGCGCGGCAACACGCACGACACACAAAACGTTTGTGACGTGTGTTCAAATTATGCCCAACGTGCAGAAACTTGCCTAGCTTCATTCAGCACCTTAAACACACCCCTTCGTACACATGCATACCTATATCTAACTCGCCGCCATCAAAGGAGTGGCCAACATGTTCCGGCTTTCTGCTGCTCTCACCACTTACTACTACTACACCCATACCCATACGTGCGTGAGCGAAGAAGTCTGCGATTTAATAAGAGCCAAACTTAAGTAGGCGACGACGATATGAACAGGTGGTTCGTCTCGGCTAGGGAGCCTAGATTTGAGTGTGCTTTCAACTGCTCGATCAGGGTCACGTGGTTCGTGGGTCGCAAGGTACGCGTTTGTAGGAGGCAAGCGACTCCGACTTTCTTCCCCACTCCGCCCGATCTCCTCTTTGCCGCGCACGCGTGCGCACGTGCACCCCATCTGCGAAAGAGGCGTCCGTCATTAAATTGCGAGAGTCATTTATGGTTTGAGTTGCTCTTTCTCTCGAATCTAGGCTCTCTAGCCTCGGCTACACGCGGTTGTTGCAACGGGAAAGTTCCGTACAGGGCCTCGAGTCCGTGTAGCGACTCGATGCACTCCGTGGGCACGTCGACCAAGAGGTTGCTGTCGAGCCAGACCTTGCGCAGCTTGGCGTGGAACAGCGGCTTTGTGACACCCGTCACGTGGGTCAGTCTGTTCTTGTTCAGGTGCCTGTCGTCACAACGAAGCATTTGTTGTCGATAAACTGCGCGTTATAACCTATGAGGAAACGTTTTTAATTGACAGAAGCAGGGGAGCTATAAGCCTACGACACACGGGAGAAAAGTTCGAATTTATGTACCTTTGGTTTTATATCATAACTTACCCCGCTAACCTGCTAATACTATAGGCCTTTCTAGCCCTTTCTGTTTTTTTTTATTATATTTAATTTTTCATCCTCTCTCTTTTTTTATAAGCTCACAACAAAATTTTTTTGGTTTATCCCTTTTAATTTGGGCTAAGTTATAAGTTATAACCCGACGACTATAAACTAATGCGTTTTGCTATAAGTTGTAACTTTTAGGTTACAGCTTATATGAAAGCATTTTTAGTTTAAAAAACTACTGTTATAACTCAGTCATCATAGGACAATAGGCACGAACGAGCTAGCCTTTTCTCGTTTCCATCACTTCTCCAGCTTTCTGCCCCTTTTTACTCCTATAACAAACTTTTTTCAGTCCATAAAAGTGGGTTCCAAAGCCTATAAGTTATAACAAAATTTGTTCTAGTTTATATACTTTAGGATTAAACTTAACATAAAATATTTTCATGTTATAAACTTTGGGGAAATCTCCTACCTATGTTATCATATTTGATGTTTTTAGACCTTGGGCTTAAATTTAAGTTAACTTAATTGCCCCGAAGCTTAGTCCAGATGAACCTTTTTGTCTTTCCGACATTTCCAATATCACGCTTTTTTTTCTTTTTTTTTTATACAAGAACGTATTTGGGTAATAGACTTTAGGTTACAACTGACAGCAAAAGATTTTACTCCAAAGGCGTTCTACAGTTCAAGCAGGTCGATAAGAGCTCATGTCACTAATGTAACAATGAGGCAGTAGCGCTGGCTAGAAGACTCAGGATGCAGCAGGCACCTCGCTTTTCGAGATAACACATTTTTGCGCACGCGCGGGCAAATGCCCTTGTTTATAAATTATAAACAATAGTTTGGTGCATAGTTTCTAAACAAAGTTAGGAGCGACATGTTTCGTAGTTTTGCACCGCGGTAACTTTGATTTGCGGAAGGAGACTAAAACTGCAATAAATAATACGAGCTGTTTACTAAAAAAGAATTCAATTTTAGATTTACTAAGATTAGGGGTTTATCACTAGGCAACGTTTTATGAAGTGAGGACCATCCCCTGGGTAGCAGATAAACAAATAAAGTACAAGCTGCTATTATAACAGCCTATTCGGCGAAGGCATTAAGTTTCGTTGTACCTTCATGATGCCAGATTTTGTTTAATCCAAGATTACGTTACGAATAAAAGTCAATCGATACAGAATTATGTGTGGACTTTGCTGTACCGGGTGTGGCTGAGAAAGCGAAGCCTGGTTTTTGGGTCCGCATAAATAAACTATGCGCATCGCAGAAAGCTGGAACTGCGTGAGAATGTGACGCTATTGGTGGTAATAGAATACGAAAGTTTGAGCACATGACATTACCTGGATCAAAAGATACAGAAGAGAAATGCGAAAACAACTTGTCAGCCAACGGAAAACAATATCGTATTTCTAACTGGCAAGTGTTTTCACTGAAATAAATGCTACAGGCGCCCACAACCTGAAATATCGCTACGATGCAAATTCGGCTTAGGTGGACGTCGGCTCACGGAGAAAGATTTTTTTGTTTTTTCTTCGTTCTTTTGATCCAGCTAACGTCATGTGCTCGAACATTCAAATTTTTTGACCACCGCTAGCGTGACTTTCTCTCGGAGTTTCGGCTCTCTGTGACGCGTGGTTTAGTTATGCGGGCCGAAACACCGAGTTTCCTTTTCTCGATCTCACCCTGAAGGATTACCAAAATTCAAAATCACATTTCGAGCGCACTTTTTTTTTTTTTTTTTTAAATTCGATTGACGTTGGGGCATTTACTTTGCTATGTTCTTGATACCGATATTTCAGCCATCTGTGCTAACTTCAAAAGCACAAAGAAACGCTTCAATACAAAAAGGCAACATGAACCTGATATAACAGTCCTCCGTGAAATTCCTAACCCCCCCCCCAAAAAAAAAAAAAAAAAACAACAACAAAAAAACATCTAGGGCAGAAAATGTACAGGAATTAGCCGAGCGGGGGAAGGAGTCCAGATTTACAATATCTCTTATGGCTTGCAAAGTGGCAGCGTTTTTATGTAGTTTTAGAATAAGGGGCGGCCCCCACGCTCTGCCCCCCCCCCCCCCCCCCCCTTTCCCCTCAACAGCTTGTGGGACTCAAAGCCTTGGGACCCCCTACTCTAAAACACCATTGCCAACGCTTGATTCACGAGACAGTATTCATAGTCGCAGTTTAAATGTATTTGAAAAGCATCGGGACTCACAGCGTTTCGAGGGAAGTCAATTGACGCAGCGCCTCCCAGGGAATCTTCGTGAAATTGTTGCCCTCCAGTGACCTGCGTGCGACAAATAATATATACATTTTTTTTTTTCATTTAGCTGCATTGGTAAAGGGTGCCATAAGTGAACGCAGAGCGCTCATGCAGTTCGGACACCACAAGCTGTCGGGAAACCCAAGCTTTTGCACTTTGCAGTGACGTGATTGTTACATGATTCACACTTCGATACGCATGTGCTGCACTAAACTTTGTACAGCAGGCGAAGTTTACTACAGGCAATTCCAATAATAGCCTTCTGCTCGCCGCCATCACTGTTTACTGAGCACGTGCAGTAGCTTTCTTCTGCGATTAGACTCCGCACATACTTTCACAGCTCAATGACTCAGCTTTCTTGCCGAAGCGACAAGCGCTAACAACGTGTATAGAGGTGTACAGTGAATCCTCCAGGAAGCAAGCTTGAATGATCTTTTCTTTTTTTCCTATGAACGATTGCAGATTGCATATTCATCAAACCTTCTTTCCAGCTTTCCATGACACATATCGTCCCTGCCAACAAATTATGAGACACTATTTTTTCAAAACTCCCGGCGTTGTCTTTAGTAGTCCTTTGAAATAGGCGCAAGCCAAACACGCTCCCGTCTTTCTACAACCGCGAGGCGAGAGACAACCGCGATGCGAGGGACAACCACCGACAGTCACCACACACCCAATCGAACAAAAGCTTTGTTTCCCGTCCAGTAGAAACGCCTCACAGCGGAGCCATTTTGGTTAATATTATAGTGCCTAACCTACACAAAGAGCTCCCCGTTTTTTCCTTAAAATAGCGAAGAACACTGCACCACCCCAGCCCATTTTTCAAAAGGGCTTCAGAGATTCACGCCGCAAAGTTATCCGTCCCGATCCCCAACAAAGAGCACAGCTGAAACACTATAAGCGTTCTTCTTCGCTTTCTCAAACGCTGCGTCGACGACGGCAGAAAGCGACGGAAACACAAAAAAGCCGTAACGCAACAAACACTGTAAACACAACAAACGCCGTAACACAGCAGTCGGCGACCGCCGTCAGAAAGCCGCGGCACCCGGAAAGAAGGGAAAGCTGCCCCGTTACAATAACGCGGATCAAACCGCGAAAAGAAAGCCGAGGGCCTAACGTTCAATACCCCGCGATCCAATCGCATTACTTTCGTCAAATAGGACAACGCAGAACGAGGCCGACAAAAGGGCCGCCGGCGGGGGGTTGTTGCGTTATGCTCCGATTTCTGGGCGACGCCGGAGCGCTCGTGCAAGTAGCACTCCAGTCAAATTGGATTCGCTCTGTCAATACGCGCGTATCGGCCACTACGAAAATGTCTGACGGCTTTCCCGCAAAGCTAGAAACGTAGTCGGGCATCTTGAAAGCAGAAAAGGCGGCGACTGCTAAGAACGGGACACCAAAACATAAAACAAAATCTCCTGGCTTGGACGTTTTATCAAATCAAATGGAGGTGCGACAGTACGTAGTGGGTTTTTGAAGCAGCAGCCCTTTTTATTTGAATTTAGCGAAGACACGCTAAACCTAGCGAGAAAATTGTGACGTCACGCAACACCATAACGTCACGTATGATCATGACGGCACTTCGCTTCTTTTGACAGGGGCTCAACGTCATACAAACAGCTGCGCTCTGTCGTTGACACTCTCTCCCATGGCCTTGGTATACGGTGCGACCAACGCCGAAAGCGTGAGAGAGAGAATGCGCAAAAAGAAGGGGAAAAGAAACATGCGTGGAAAGTTCCCAAATAGAGCTATATTGCTTAAATTTCTTCGAAGCTGTAGCTTACACTTTTATATAGTTTCCACCAATGTTTACTTCGCGACCACTTCGCAGCAATATATCCCCAAGGTATAGTCTCGTCGACAGACCTTCCCAAGTCAATTCTGTGCCCGTATGCTGCTGGCCCACATTGAAGCTTTAATGAAACGGTCCTCGAAAATCTTCCCAATGTCGTTCGGTTTCAAGTAATTGACTTGGTGTGCAAATATAGCATCGTTGACTGCTTCGAACAATTCATCTCGATTTTTTACGGGGCTCTCATATGAGCCCACTAAGCTTTAATGAAACACGGACAAAGCAAAAGCAATATTTTATTTGCAGGTTATATTGCTTCGAACACGTATGCATCTGACACCGTCCCGCCGAAATGAAATAGTCTCAACATTTTTTTAAAGCAAACTACGGTAGCATGTTGCGTGACAGCACATAATCATAAACTTAATTGGTTTAAAGTTAAGTTCAGAGCGCTTGAAAGCTATGCGGGTAAGCGGGAAATGCTGACAAGGTAGGGTTAATGTAATTTTTTTAGCTTTGGCACAAACGGAATGACTGATATTAAACAAAGTGGTTTATGCTGACTTAGTCACGCTGACGCGAACTTAAGCCTTCATGCATTCAGCATCGAGATACTGATATGTCTAGCCGTGCTCGCGGCATTTATTGTATTTCTAAACTGTAACCGAGCCTTCCGGTTGCGATATAAACTAGGAAAACACAAACGTACAGTGCTAATCACATTTGTCTATAACGCGCGAGCGTGCGGCTTTCTCCGGGGAGCGCTAGACTGGTGGCATTCGCGGAAAGTAAGCTAGTCACGTGGCGCAGCATGGAACGGCCCGCTCGAGGGGTGTCCTGCCCACTCTATCAGCTTGATAAGCGATAAAAGTAAAGTGCTTTACGATATATTTTTGTTTTTTGATGACGAAATCGTTGATACGCCTTCATGCTTTAGTTTGTTTATTGTTCGAGCAATTATGTTTGTAAAAAGCGTGCGAGCGGCCTTCCGCGTTCGCCGCCAGCTGATAGAATGTCCAGGACATCCCTCGAGCGGGCCGTTCCATGTTGCGCCACGTGACTAGCTTAGTTTCCGCGAATGCCTCCAGTCTAGCGCTACCCCGAGAAAGCCGCACGCTCGCGCGTTGTAGACAAGTGTGATTAGCACTGTACATTGCTTGAGGGTTGATAATGAAACAAGTTTAACCTCGAAACTTGTTCAAGTCGGCATTTTTCCCCGCAGGATTACATAGAAACGAATAAAGAAGGATATGTTGCGACGACAGAAACTAATGATGATGAGCGATGATGCTGGTGGCGATGATAAAGACAATAAAAATTACGGGACGAATATATCCCGGTATCTACATATAATCTTGATATCAACGTGAAGTCGCTAACCACCTGTAATTCACGCAAACTAATTAAAATTTTCCCGCTTCACTCAATATTGAGGGACGGTTCCACATACCAAAACTCCTCTACCCAACGGATGCCGTTACTTATGTTCCGACGGGTGCTAACATGACGCAATGCTAGATCCCCCTATTGGAAAGACCAGTCTGAAAATCAAACTGGTCAAAGTGGTATTTGGACTGGTTAGACTGGTTTAACAGGAAATCAAACTGGTGCATCTGGTAGCCAGACTGATCTAACTGGTAACCATATTGATCTAACTGGTCACCAGATTGCCTTCTAACTGGCCACCAGATTGGCCTGACTGGTCGCCATATTGGCTTAACTGGTCACCAGATGGGCCGAACTGGTCACCAGATTGGCCGAGCTGGTCAGCAGACTGGCCGAACTGGTCCAACTGGTAACCAAATTGACCAAACTGGTCACCAGATTAACCCCTGTTTCTCACTTCCTTTTTAGGGGTGTGCGAATTGGCTTTTTTGTTTATTGGCTTTCAAATAATTACGGCATGATCGAGCGTTTACTTTTTACTAAGAGATTCGTGTTTTAAGCCGTTCAAAACAATCTCAGAGGTATGACATCACTGGAAAAAAATCGACATACCGGGAATATTTTTTGTTGCTTAGGCGGTACCCGAGAAATTCCGTACGTTCAAAACAACCAGTATAAAAGACGGAAACTCAGATCACGGAAGCGGTGATCGGGTTAGTGTGCTGTTGTATTGATGTTTATATGTACCGCGTATGTGCATGCCTTAAATGCATGTTCAGCTGATGCTTGTAGTAAGCGTATTGTGTCTGTGTCTCATAAAGATTTCCGAAGCGCAGTGGTGGCGTGAACAAATGAAAATATTTTTTTCGAACCAGCGTGACAAGTCAACCAGTGGGACCAGTTCAACCACCATGACCAGTAACTAGCGTGACCAGTTCGAACCACCTTGACCAGTTCAACCATTATGAAACTGGTCAAACTGGAGCAATAACCAAGTTTGAAACTGGTACCACTTTGAACTGGTCTTTCCAATAGGGCTGTATAAAATATATATATATATATGTGTACATAAAAACTGCCTGTCTTTAGAATCTTTTAAAGACACTAAACATATAGCGTGTATAGAACCTCCGTGACGTCATTGCGTTAATGACATCACGGCGTCACGTTACTTCAAACGGCCCGTGATAACATGACTTGTCACGTGACGAAACATGAGCGCTGTTCCAGTCCGCGTCAGCAACTTACACGTCTGCAGAGTGCTCCCCCATTCACAGCAGCACGACGATTGTTCGACAAAAGCAAAAGAAACACAAAGAAAAAGAAATGGGAACAATACAACGTTCGGTCGTCGCTTTCTGTCGCGCTGCGTGTCGCCCAAATCATGATTTCCCGTCCGAGATACAACCCGCATCCCCGTATACCTACGTTTACGACGTTGCCGAAATCGCGGACATCGCCAACCGTCGCAACTTACGCAGCCTGACGCGGAGCTAACGAGAAAGTAACGCCGGTCCCGTCCGCGCGTCTGGCCGCACTCTCGTAAGGTAGACTGTTTCACGATGTCTTGTTCCAACGGTATCCGCTGTCGAAGCTGGGCTCCGAGCAACCGAAGTGAAAAGGTATGCTGGTGACGCCATTCTGACGCTGCAGTGAGCGTATTACCAGTATTTTGGCATTGTCTTCTACTTTCATCGAAGAAGGACTTTAATTCCGTCAGTTGAAACTGTCAGATCAGGGCATTACATAGCGAACGACGAGGCCTTCAAGCGCTGGTTATCTGTGTTCTTTAGAAAAAAGAAGTCTGAACAGTCAGTCTTATGCACAAACTGTGCGAGGAGAATCCTTTCTTTTTTTTTACCTCGGCATCTGTATCACATTGTTGCAGAGCTGATATTAATGTAAGACAAGGTAAATCTTTTCTTGCACTATTATTGCTAGGCCTGCTGCTCATTTGTATAACATGAATTTTCCCGATATATTTATGTCCTGAATTTGGAATCATTCAAAAGTGGCACAAATAAAGATATTTTTGTCAATTAAAGAACGCAGATTTCTGAAATCGGATCCCGTAAAGCGCTCAATACGGGAAAACTAATGTCCACATGTCCACCACCGATTATGAATAATAACATAGTCTTAATTTGCCATATTATTATTCAGTACTGTAGTAATGGTATCGAGTGGTCCAATAAAATTACAAAATTACCGTAAAAAAAAACACGCACAAAAAAACTAGCCCTTATCACCCACCTAACCACGAATAAAAGAAATATATTGCCTCGCAAAGGAAACATGCGTTTACGACTCCCCCCCCCCCCCCACCCCCCCCCCCCCCAAAAAAAAAAAAAAAAACAGTTTCGCAATTTTAACTTGAAAAGTAATTTGGAGCTGCTTTTGCTAACAGGAGCGGTGAAAACAAGTATAAATAAAACAGATCCTAACAGGGCTGGAGTCAAGAGTTTAGTAACTACGACATTGTTAACAGCAAACGAGCCACTACGTATAAAGCACACAAAGAATGACGGTAGCCAGTCAGCCGAACACTCATCAGACCGTAAAACCCCGCGCTACACAACCTCGTACAACCACCACCGAACATCTGTGAGGATCATAAACGTCCCGTTAGCGGGCGCTAACGCTTCGCCACCCACCCTGTTCCCAGAGCCGCACTGTACTCACAAGAAGGTGATTCCCTCGACTCCCAGGAACGTAGCAGGAAGAAGCCATTCTAAGCCGTTGTGTTCGAGCCGTCTGCAAGAACACGAGAAAAAGGCCAGCATCAGCCTCGCGTTAAGACCACAGATTACAAAAAAGAAAGTATAAAAAAACACAAAATAAAGATAAATAAAGAAGAAAAGCGAGCGTGTATAGTTGCTCCCCAATGTCTTTAACGCCGAGAAAAGCAGTCGGAAGTAAGGTCGTGGTAACTGCGACCTCATGAAGCCGCCATTTGCGCAAGGGGCCGTCATCACTATTGCAACACTCGCTCCATTTCCCCCGGACGCCTCTCGTCCACAGCGCTGTTCTTTTCGCGGTATCTCTTCATCGCTAAGTAGCTGTGTCGGGGGGCCTAATGCTCGAGACTTTACCCGCGGCCTCTGTTTCAGTCGACATCTTTCTTTGCGAGAAAATTCGCCTTCTTTCCCTCTCTTTGCCTTTTCATCCTTACAACATGTGAGTCCCCCCCCCCCCCCCCCCCCTCCCCCCCCCCCTCTTCCCCGAGAGCGCACTACAAGCCATGATGCGTATGGAAAGTAAAACGGCAGAAAGTACCACTCTTCGGTTGCTTTAAAATTTAACAGGACAAACAAGATATCCGGGGAATACATAAAAATGCACAAGAAGAAGCTTTTAGCAGTCACGAAACAAAACTTATCGCGCGCCGACAGTGACCGTAACTTTCGTAGCTTCGGTCGACCGGCGACGCTCCAGATATGTGTTCGTGTTATAACAATAACGACACGACGTACCGAAGAAAACATTAGGAAAAAGAAAGAAAAAATCATTGAAAATCGGGTAGAGCGATGGGGCTCCGGAAGCCTCCGGCCCGTTAAAATTGAGACGAATGGCTTCTAAAGACGTGTCAAATGTCACTCTTGACAAAGAGGTTAAACAGTGGAGAACAATGAAAAAGAAAAGTCAGCGACTGAAAAGAAAGCCGCCATTTTTCTATCTCTGTGCGCTTACTTTCAATCGTAAAATTAGATCCGAAATAAATGTGCAACTACAACGAGGAGAGGAAGAGCACTCGGATTTTAACAAAAAGCACAACCAATACAATACAAAGAACCTTGGAAAGAAAATATCCGTCTTCCAACGACGCGACCTCTTTCGTCAATCGGCCACACTTCGTGTCAACTTATGATAGACCGGAAACGGACGCTACCAGCCATTCCAGCCAATACAGCGCTCTCAACGCGCCACGTGACTTCGTGCGTAGTGGCGCCCCTCTCGAAGGTCAAGTGACACTCACATGGTACGGGATTGAATTCGATGATTCGTAGTGTCTTCTGCGCTCCACCTTACGGTGAAACTGACTAAAGGAACGAGTAAACGGTAAAAGTTAATCCGTTCGTTTTTTTCCTTTTCTATTTTAGAAGAATACTTCTATTTGGTACTGAAGAGGTTCCCGAGCGACCAAAAAGTGCGTAGACGAGCAGCAAGCGAACGCTGACGCGACTTACGCCACGCCAAATGCATTTCCCCTGTTCCATGCGGTACGGCTTTGGGGATTTGTGACCCGAAACCTGCTCTGCTATTCGGCGGCGAAGCCCGAAAGAGAAATATCATCCTTCTTATACTTCCAAACTTTTGCCGCAGGTTTCTCCCTCCTATATAATTTTTTTTTGTGTGTGAATTTTTATTGGTTTGTGAGCGTGAAAACAAAAGAGTTTATAACTCAAAACTAAAAAGTGGGCGATGAACAGGAAAAGATGAAAACTATCGACGGCGTGCGAAGTGAACGTAAGCCGTTAGCCTCGCGTTACGCCCTCGACATTCTCTACAGATGGATGAGAGGAAACCCGCCGATAACAGCTGCTGCGCCCCGAAAAAAGTTGGGACTTGTTGACGCAACAAATAAATGTCTTAACCTGTCAAAAGGGCCTGACACGAGAGCGTATATGGCTCGATGCAGCGCTTCTTTCGAACTCGCTCCCGTGAAGATGACTCGCTATATAGTCTTCATCTCGCCATAAAACAAACTAAGCGCAAAAAAAAAAAAAAAGGTTACTAGTGCGAGCTCTCTGCGCTCGAAGGCTTCTCGGCTGGACTACCACTCGTATATACACCGTTCACACCAAACTCAAAAAAAGAAAAGAAACGCGGTTGTAATGTTAGTACATTGTACAAAACAGTCTGCAGATACTGTGTATGAAGCAAGCGTGCTTGGGACATGCTTGAGTCCTGTCCTAGCAGTGCGGCGAGAGTTACGCGCTCGCAGTACCATAACCTCCTCTATACTGACAAAGCCTGGCAGATCGCCACGAGAAGCGGCCGCCGAAATTGAAAAGGTAGAGTGGCAGACAACGGATGAGAGGAGAGCCACGTGACGGGCGCCCCGCTGCGGCGAGACGCCGAAACACACTTCTCCCGAGCGATGGAATGTCCGCTCGTGCTCCTCGCGCTACCGCTTCTTTTCTCGTCGGGTTTGAAAACCATGTTTCGGGTCCTCGCCGCCGCGAAAGCTGTGCGCTGACGTCTGGCTTTCCCGAAAAATGCTCAGTGCTACCACATCCTTGCGCTCCAAATCTGCGACTTGGCACTCCATGGCTCCGTCATCAAACTGCCAGGCTTTGTGAGTACAGAGGAAGCTATTCGCAGTACCAATCAACCGTCTTCCTTTCATCATCTGACCCGTCTCTCCGAGCTTGGGTGTGGAAGGAAACATTTTCACGCGACAAAAGATAGACGTGTGACTCGTTCCGTTGGGCACAAAGCTTCCAAAGCGCTCTCAGCTTAGCGGGTGGAGTGCGTATTGCAGGTGCACCGACCGAAACCGCCCGCGCTCGTAGCCTTCGTGTTCGGTTTATTATGCTTCGGGAGAGACGAAGAAGAGGTAGTCACCACACGCTCGCACCATATAACTTTAGCGGCGCACTACATCACACCACTGTTGGGAAATAGTTTAAGTACACTGTACTTAAAGTACCACTCGAGTAGGTTTAAAAAGAACTTGTACTTTACTCGAAGTACATTCTTCGAGTATCTACTTCTACTCAACTTGAAGTATTTTTTTCTGGTACTTTCCGAGGAAAGCAGAACTCCCCACATCAAAGTACGTTCCCCAAATTTGGTAGTGTTAAATTTGTATCACAAAATGGTGCTTTGTCAACTTTGAAGAAATACTGGGAGGAGGGATATTCTACTCTCACCAGAAACGGGAGCAGACAACGCATCGCTCATTTGGTGATTTCTCTGGGGCGAGTAAAGGCCCATTCACACACTTGCAACCGAGTACGACCGAGAGAGACGAGACCTGTTGAAACCTCTTAAAATTTCTTAGGGGCGAGAGAACACACTGGTGCTCTGGCGCCATCTATGCGGTAACCCTGGAACTGCATTTCACAAGAGCGAAGATTTTGCTGGATTTCCGAAGTCAAATGTGCGTATTACCTATAAGAAAGGCTCGTTCCTATCGTCGACAGAAGTTTTTCGAGCCAAGAAAGAAACGATAATGCGCGAGAGAAATAGAGAATATGCCGGACCGCCAAGTTTACACTTCTACCCAATAGATGGCGCCAATGTGTCCTCTCGTCATAAGAGATATTAAGAGATTCCAAGGCAGGCGGTTCTAAGAGGTTGAAAGTGTGTGAACAAGCCTTAATGGTGACTCTAAGACCGCTACAAATAAGTGCTTTAAGAGCTCATTGTGGGAAATAGTTTGCCAGAGTGAGTAAAACGACTACTCTGGGGACATTTGACATTATCTAATATTCGTCTCCATTTCCGACAATAACTGATGCACCCTCGATTAACCCTGGGTCAATCCGTTACCAGTTTAAAAAAAAAAAAAAATAGGAGAATTAAAGTGCACCATGAAATATTTTTGGTAAAAAGTACTACTACTTTACTTTGGAAGTACGTTGCATTTAGAGTATTTTACTTCAGGTACATTGCACCCGGTGTACTTACTACTTTACTTGAAGTACAGGACCTTTTGTACTTGACTTCAAGATTTTTTAGATGTATTTTACCCAACACTGCATTACACATATATAGCTGACAGGCAGCCAAAGCTAATCTCATAATTCCTATTTTTATGCAAGTATTCAGCAAATTTGCTATTAACAACAATCGGAAATTAATTTCAGTTTGCCCTCTTTTTTTATCAGTCTCGCACTCCCTTTTTGCTTAATACTGCTGTGCTCTTTCGAACCTGATTCCTCCGGTTATTTTATTGCGATGTAACGAAACAGTATATGTTAGGATTAACAGGTAGTTATTTTTCTTTTTTTTTTGTTGCAAGCTTTAGCGTGCAGAAGGAACACCTTGCAGTAATGAGGGAAGCCGAAAACCCGTCAGCATGATTCCGAAAAAGGCAAGCAACTCATAAATCCCCTTGCCAATAAAAGCAACAACAACGAGGTAATATTAAAAAAAAAAGTAGTCCTCAGGTCACTATTAAACTTCGCTTACGTGTCGCGGAGAACAAACTTCTATTTGCTGAGACACTCACCATGAAATAACGCCCACAATACAACCAATTTGACTTCTTCTCTCAAGGCACTCTACCAGCGTGTCATGCCCTCGAGGTAATTCTGGTAATACCGTGTAAATACTCACAGCTCCTTGAGTCCCACGAAGTCGCTAAACGCCGCCGCCTCGAGGGACGTCAAGTTGTTTCGGCTCAGATCACTGCAAAAACAAAGAGAGAGAGAAACAAAAAGCCAGGGTTCAAGAGAGACGTTTTGGCGCTCATCCAAAGACATCGCAATCCTCTCGACTGATGCCTCCCTTGGGCCTCCATTGTGTTCGCGAGTCGCGTCTTTTCCACGGTCGAAAGAGCGCCTGCTTGGATGACGCGGACACTTTCTATTAAGGTAGCCTGTTACGGTGAAGATGTTGCTCTCATTAATGTCTCAGTCTCTTTTTTTTTTATTTCCTTGTAACCCTTCTTATTATGTTCCCTTCCACAATGTCAATCATATCCTTTCATCCCTCTTGTCTCCCTTCTTCTCATTTTTAAAGTACGTCAGTTGGTCCTACAGTACTCCCCGTTTTGAACTTTTTTGTTTTGTTTCTTGAAGTGGTCCGGTTTTGTAACATTTCCTTCTTATATACAATGATGTCAGAAGGGGAGAGGGGGCTTTCATCCCCCCTGTCTCTCTCCTTTTCCCGAGAACACTCCCGACGCCCCTCCGAGTCGTTTTTTTTTTTTTTTTTCCTCTCGCGTGATTTTCTACTTAATATCTCAAGTCGTTTACTATCTTCCTTTTGCTGCCTTCTCTCATTCTTTTGATAAACGTGTATACTTGGTTTTTCCTTGGGGACTTCGCTTATTTTCAAAACAATTCGTATCTCCACTACGACTCATCAACTGGAGTGCCAAGACCCGCTCCCGTGTATTGCTTAAGGTACAGTACTTAATAAAATGAGGTAGAGCGAAGCAAGAATACAATAACAGCAACAATATCTCCGCGCAACGCAAAAGTTCTGACGTGAGTCTTCTTTTAGTCATCCAACCTTTACATTTAACTCTCGAAATTATCAGAAAACTTTTTTTATTCGTTATTTCTCTTGATTTCTTTACTCGCAATATAAGTTAGTTAACACGAATTTTGGAGGGCGTTGAAGAGTCACTTTGGAGAGAACACTTTTTTCATGGCCTTGTGACAAGAATCAAACATTGCTCACATACATTTCAAATTCATCCTATTGACCACCGTTTATTTTTTACGCCTGAGCATGCGTCGGGCCGTAGAAAAACAGATAGGAAAAGAGAAAAACGAAAGTCTCTGTCTAAAGTAACACAAAACACAAACGCATCAGTGAAAGCAACGCCAATAAAATTAAATAAAAATAACTAGGCGCCTCGGGCACAATACACCCAACACTGACGCAAGTGCATCATCACAAATTTTATCACCACCGTTTCGAGTCTTGGTAAAACCTACAGCAACAAAAAACAAAAACGAGCGAAAAATGCAACAGCCCAACAAAACAAATCCCGCATATCAGCAGTACCAGTATAATACGGGGGTGAAAGACCTTTCCATTGAAACCCGGGCCGTTGTGAAACAAAGAACTACAGCGACCCAATACGTCCTCATCTGCATGCTGTCAGACCGTTTTGTTCTGGCCGCACAGAAACGGTGCCGGTTGGGATCATCGCACCAATTCGTTCAGGGGGAAGGGGGGGGGGGGGGGGGGGTGCTCACGAAGCAGCGTCTGCTTCCTTCGACAGATCCATCAGACATCCTTTCCCGCACCTCCTTTCCCCATCTCGGTGGCAGAACGCCGCGGCAGCGTACGCGCGCTCATTCATCACACTCAAGCTCGGCAGGCCGAACGCTCAACAGCGGAGTCGAACCCGAACTGCCTCTTCACGCAATGTCAAGTTTTGGTGCCGTTTTATTTTTCCCCCTTCCCTTTTTTTTACGAAACACCCCTTCGAAAAGAGCACACGCGTCGTGATCTCTATCTGTTATCATCGAGACGAGGCTATTTTCTATTTAACCTTACGATGAACCGCAACCGACACCACAAGCTATCTTCGCACATCCTGCGCTTTAACTTTATTTATTTATTTTACCCTCAGGCCCAGAGGCAATACAGAAGGGAGTGTAAGAAAACAAACAAAACGATATTAGAAAAGAAAGAGCAGTTAAACGGAGAATGCATGGTTTGTAACACTCGAACAAGAAAGAACAAAATCATCTTTATGTTTAGGTGATGCAGTAGATGATTCCATTCCTTCGAAACTCCATCGATAAAATAAGCAAAAAGAATCGTTATACTGGCAAAATGGAACTCATACTTTGTGACGGTGATCCAGATGGGTGGAAACAAATGATGGTGGTGTCATGAGCTGATTTTTGAGCACAGTGTTTCGATATAAAAATATAGTAAAAAAACACAAATGCTTGAGATTCTGTGTCGACATGCGAGGCTGGGTACGGGACTCTGCACCCCGCGCGTTGCAGCGCCCCCTTCCCGAAAGTCACGAGACATTTACGCGGCATTGGATCGGCTCCAATGGCTCGTGTAGACTGCTGCGCTTCGTTGTAAGGGGAAACAGAGTGTAGACATGATGACAAGAAACGAACGATCATTTTAAAATGTGTCCTCCCCGGCTCAGCAACATCCGACAGGATTTTTTTCGCAATTACTCGTCACCACGCACGCGACCCACACACCGCGACGAAGTGGTTTGGGGTGTGGCAGAAATACGAGCGCCCACCGCGGAACGACGAGTCACCGCCCTCCAAAACGGTTGGGGGATTACGATCGTCTTGGTGTAGGTTTTAGGTTGCATCGCATCGACCGTCACCTTTTTGTTCCGCTTGGTTCGAGAAGATGGGAGTCAGAACTATAAAAAAAATTGTTGTGGGAGTCTGCTTTAGACGTGGAATATACTGGGGATGGGGGAGAGGTGTGCTAAAGACGAATTGATATCGGCCGTTTCACACCTAAGCAACAAAATGGAGTGTAACGCCCAATCTATCGTTTCCAGATCCTTTCCTGGCGTTGGTGCCACCCAGCGGAACAACTAAAATATCTAAAATCGAGTAACGCTTAATATTTATTTTATTCTCATTCCCCTGTGGGTCTGGAGTCCCACAGGGGAGTATACTTGGGACATTTCTTTTTAATATCTATATACATAATATTGTCAATATAAATCCATCGGCAAAATTTGTTATTTATGCTGACAACACCAGCATATTTTTTTTCCGGCACAAGCAGCGATGAACTTATCGATGTCACAAATTTAACATTGTCTAAATTGTACGTCTGGGCACGAGGTAATGGTCTGAACACTCATACCAAAAAAACGAAAGGCATAATTTTTTGCCCCCAAAAAAAACAACAACAAGAGTATATTAATAATGCGAGACATCGTATTGAACTCCGTCCCAATAGAAATTGTTAGCACTTTTTAAAAATTTCGGAGTATTCTTTTCAGAACGAATGTCATGGGATAACCCCATTGATCACTTAGACACAAAACTGTTTACGTGTTATAGGAGTAACATACCCTCACGGTTCTTTTCTACCTGTTAATGTGAAACTACGAATACACAATGCCCTGTTTAGTTCCATTTAAATTACTGTAGCCTCGTTTGGAGTAATACGACGATCACAAACTTGCAGAAACTATATGTATTGCAAAAACGAATACTGAGAATTATTTGTAATGTGCCTTATGGTTACCCTAGTGAGGGCTTGTTTCGAAAGTTCAAGAATGCTAAAAATATTTAACCTTTATGAATATAAACTATTATTAACTTAAATTCGAAAAAAAAAAGAAACGCGTTTCTTGTCAGATTTATTTGAGTTAGTGCCGAACGATCACGTCTATTTAACCCGACACATGGAACATCGGAAGGTCACCGGCTGTAAGACAAACTATGGTGCACAAACGCTTCGTTACACTATACCTAAATTGCTCAACTACCTCGCCAGCAACAAAACTTGTATAGACTCTATATCAACTAAAGATTTTCGTTCATTCTATTTGCGCTTGTGATTCTTCATCGATGCATGCTATATAATGTTACATATAATCTACTTGTCTGTTTGAGCTGTATAGGGTTATTTATTAGGGCTACGAAAGTGTCTACTGTGTAGCGTTTATAATAATTCTGATGAAGTTTTTGTCTTCTTATGCATGTGTGTGTGTCTGTGTGCTTCTCTTTATTATTTTTATTTCGTGCTGTTGCGCCTGTCACCGTATGGGGTTTCGGGCTCGTCAAGTCTCCACTGGAGGCTTTTTTTCTTCTGTCCCTTCAATTAATTTGGAAAATAAAGTTATTATTATCATTATTTTGTCACAACGTTCATTCTCTCATCTTTATCGTTGCGAAATAGCCGGTATCACATTAGAATATACTCATTTCTTCAAACACGATAATGCCCCTGGCACATCGACATTTTAAATGGCATTTAGAAGTGTTGCAATTAGAGGATAATGTACCGATTTAAGAGGCGTCGCACTACGCTCAAGGAGAAGGACGAAAGGAGAAGAAAGAGAAGGATTATAGAGAGAGAGAGAGAGGGGAGGGAGTGAGAAGGAAAGTAGGGGAGATCCCTTGTGAACTGAATCACCGCTCGTCGAAATAGCATTTGGCTGAACGTCATTTCAATGTCAGTGTGACAAGGGGTATTAATCTTACAATCAAGAGCACATACTTAGTTCTATCTTTGTTTAAATTTGCACAAATGTTGCAATCATCTCTGCGACAACTTTCAAAACAACCATACCCTCGCTCCTTTGTCTTCGATACCGCTTCACCACAATGCCCGCACTCCTGCTTTTGATCGGGGATCGCGCGTTCTATTTTACTTCGCCGCCGACTGTACCACGGCCATGGCAGCCGGGAGGACCCGTTTCCAATGCCGTAAGAAGCAGAAGACAAGCCCGTCCGTCGACCGCCAGAGGAGACAAAGTGGGATGGAGGAGCGAGACGGCCCAAAGGAGAAGGATGGAGACATGATGACGTCAGGGGGGCAGGATGCGGAAAGAGACAGGAGATGGCGCCCGAGTGACGTGGAACGACGAGCCCGTTGCCACGGTAACGCGTGGAAGAAGAGGGGTCAGGAGATGAAGGCAGAGGAGCGGTGCCTCCTCTCCTCTTCCAGCTCCTCTCGACAGCGAAGAGAGGATCAGCATTCCGACGCTGGGGTGTCCGGAATCCGACAGCGTGCTCTTCCACGTACACACATAGACGTGTACGAGTCAGGGCGGGTTGCACGGGGAAGGAGGGGGGGTGGGGTGGAGGGCGAGTTGACGGGGTCGCCTATAAG